TAGAGAAAATAAAATGTCACAAGACCCACTGGGAATTAGGCCCACAACCTGGGCATGTGCCCTGACCAGGAATCCAACTGGTGACCTCTTGGTGTATGGGTCGATGCTCAACTGCCGGGCCCCACAATGTATCTTAATAACCTTCATATATAGTTAGAGTAAAGCTCATTTGTATTTCTGGTATTATTAAGCAGAACTCTCTGAAATAGTAAATATTATGCAGTACTGTTACTACCTTTTACATTTTAATACCACAATTTAAGTACACCCAGCACAGCAAGTCAGCAAGCTTGCTTTTTATCTGTGAATCATTCATGTGGGGTTATTCCTTAGATGAGTGATTGTGAGCTTAAGGTTTTTTTAGCTTAATTTTTTTAATATAGTTTTTTAAAAAATTGTTTAGAGAGGAAGGGAGAGAGAGAAAGAAACATTGATCAGTTGCCTCCTACATGCACCCTACTGGAGATTAAGCCTGAAACCCTGGCATGTGCCCTGACTGGGAGTCAAAGCAGGACACTCGGTCAATCCGGTGAACCACACTAGCTGGGTTTAGCTTGTTTTTTTTTATTTTCTTCTCATTTCTTTTTTCTCCTCTCCCCTCTCCTCCCTTCCCCTCCCCTCCCCTCTTTACCCGAGGACATTTTTCTGTTTATCTAGAGAGAGAGAGAGAGAGAGAGAGAGAGAAACATCGAAGTGAGAGAAACACATTGACTAGTTGCCTCCCTCACTACCCTGACCAGGACCAGGAACGAACCGCAACCAAGGTTCATTTCCTTGACCAGAATCGAACCCTCAACTCATTAGTCTATGGGCCAACACTCAAACCGCTGAGCCAAATCAGCCAGGGCTAGCTTAATTTTTTTAAGTGAACAGATTCTCTCACCTTGGCAGTTTAACTATAGAAAATAAATAATATTAGATAAGCATTAACTGCCAATCCATGACTAAGAGTGAACAGAAATTATACATATTTCTCTTTTGATCTTAGCATATCCAAACAAAACATTTGACTGACTTTTAAAAGTTGGAGTGGTTAATGCTGAATAGGAATAAGAAAAACAATGTTTGAGATTCGTTTATGACTAATGTAACCATGTGTTCTTGTTCTTCATATGCTTTATATTTAAGTCCTCACAATCTGTTCCTATAGGATGGAGCTTCACTAAGGGCAGTTTTGTTTAACAAATAGTCTGGTAAGATTTTTCTTGGTCTCCCAAGCATCCCTCTGTGTTTTCTGAGGATATTAAAAATGAAGTGAAAAAATATGAAGAGGCTATGAAAATTATTTTAATTTTTTCCTGCTGTGGGTGTTGGATTGTTTTCCCCCAATAAAGACAAGTGTCGCTGTGCTTTTTGCAAGACAGAAATGTTCCACTGATAAATGTAGGAATTATTGCATTGCTGTTTTTATAGTGTTGAAATGAGATTTTATTGGTATAGACATTAAGGGAAATACCTTTTACCAAGGTATTGAATCTATAATGCAAAATTTTAATAGTTTTTACAATACTGAGAATTAGAGCAGTTGGCCTTGTCCACAGGTGTTTTCTGTGCAAAGTGACTGGAGAGTAGGAAGGTAGGAACAGGTCTAGAGAGAGAGAAGCTATTAAAAAAGAGGGAGCACCCTGGCCAGTTGGTTCAGCGGTTAGAGTGTTGGCCTGCAGTCCAGAGAGACCCAGGACTGGTTCCCGCTAAGGGCACGTACCTTGGCTGCAGTTTGTCCCGGCCCTGGTTGGGTCGTGCGGGTGGCAACCACTCGATGTGTCCCTTTCACGTCGATGTTTCTCTCTCTCTCTCTCTCTCTCTCTTCCTCCCACTCTATGTGAAAAAAAAAAAAAGAGAGAGAGAGAGAGAGAGAGAGAGAAGCTGTTAAATAAATAAATAAAAAATTTAAAACACCTGGTATCATTGACAAGCAGTTCTCTTATAATGTTCCATCATGGATACAGGAATAGTTTTCAGCTTCCTTTCCAATGACATTGGGTATTTGTTTAAACCTTTTTATTCTCATCCATCTCTTCTATTTCATTATCATTGCTGCCCTTATAATTACATTAAACCCTCTTCCTCTGCATAAAAATGTTTGCATATAGAGCTTTTCATTTGTTTTTGGGTTGCCTATGGATACCAAATTCTAGGGATGCATATGATTTATCACTGACGTGTTATCACTATGAGTTATCACTGATATGTGCCTAATGTTGTTTTTTTAAAAATACTTTTAGGTTTGCTAATAATGGCTTAGATGTTTTCTGGTTTTATTGAAAACTTAATTTTTTAAAACTTTTGTTAGATGTTGTGGAAAATAAAAGGGAGAACAAACCTTGTAAGCCCAGTGCCCTAACTAATATCCATTTTACATTTACTTTTAGTGTTTTTTACATAATTATAACATAGTTTTCTAATTTTTTATATAACCAGATCTTATAAACATTTGAAAAATATTTTTATTGATATTTTAGAGAGGAAGGGAGAGGGAGAGAAAGAGAAACATTGATGTGAGAGTGAAACATCGATCAGCCGCCTCCTACACACTCCCTACAGGGGTTGGAACCTGCAACCTTAGCATGTGTCCTGACTGGCAACCTTTCTGTGTGTAGAACTGTGCCTAACTGACTGAGCGACACTGGCCAGGGCTAAGCATTTTTTTTTTTTTAATCCTCATCCAAGGATATTTTTCTATTTATCTCAGAGTGGGAGGGAGGGAGAGAGAGAGAGAGAGAGAGAGAGAGAGAGAAACATCGATGTGAGAGCAACACATCAACTGGTTGCCTCTTGCATGACCCCGACCCTGGCCGGGGATGAACTGCAACTGAGGTACGTGCCCCTGAGCAGAATCGAACTCACAACTCTTTGGTCTGTAGGCCGACGCTCTAATCGCTGAGCCAAACTGGCCAGGGCAAGGGCTAAGCATTCTTAATACTGCTATGAAATCTCTTTAAAGTAAAACTTCATTTTTACCACAATAAAACATAACATAGTTCAGAAAGTAAAATAACTTTATAAGGCTAGGTCCCATTCCTTTCCACCCCTAGTTTCTACTCTCTAGAGGCCACCACTTTCTCTTTCAGGTATTCAATCATTTACCTTAACATTTCCAAATAAGGTGTTTTTATTGCTGATTTTTTTTTATTAATATTAGAGAGAGAGAGGAAGGGATAGGGAGAGAAAGATAGAAACATCGATGAGAAAGAACATTAATTGGCCACCTCCTGTACGCCCCCCACTGGGGATCAGGCCAACAATCTGGGCATGTGCCCTGACCGGGAATCGAACCAGTGACCTCTTGGTGCATAGGTCGATGCTTAACCACTAAACCACACTGGCTGGGCTTACTGCTGATTATTAATGTTTGTCTACCACCACCACCACAATTCCCCCAGTGTAGTCATAACATGACTTTTGATCATTTCATATAGAATCACAGCTAGGCCATATATACATTGTAATTAAATTGTCTTTCATGTATGGATTTTGTTTTCCCTGAAGTTAATAACTACTGTGTTCCTTGCTTTGTGTCTACTTTTAACTCATCTCCAAAGTCTTCTACAAAGTGAAAAATATTAAATCTGTCATATCAGGTGATCTATCCATTTGATTTTTTAAAAAATTATTGCTGGGGTGTCCTGGCCAATTTTGCTCAGCCAATTAGAACATCAGCTGGTAGGCCAAAGAGTATGGGTTCAGTTCTGCTCAAGGGCACATACCTCAGTTGTGGTTTGGTCTCTGGCCCTGGTGGGGGTTGTGTGGTAGACAACCAGTCAGTGTATTTCTCTTACATCATTGTGTGTGTGTCTCTCTCTCCCTCACACTCTATCTGAAGATAAATGGAAAAATGTCCTTGAGTGAGAATTTCAAAAAATATATTATTACTGGAGCATTCCATTTTTTTTGTTCCAATCGGAACTGATTGCTTTCTCCTCTGTCATCCTGGATTTTCCTTCACCATCATCTTGGGAATTGACCTCTCTCTAGAGTTGGATCCTCTGCTGTCTGGCTTCAGTGGCTTATTTCTTGGTTTACTTCTTTATTATGGTGGAGCAAACCTTCTTATAGCTTAGTGAGAAAGAGTACATGAGATACATATTATTTGATGCCCTGCCTGCTTGCATTTTTTTTTTTTTTTTTAATCTTCAGCCAATTTTAGAGAGAGGAAGGGAGGGAGAGGGAAAAACATCGATGTGAGAAATCAGTCAGTTGCCTCACATATTCGCCCGACCACAAGCCTGCAACCTAGGTATGTGCCTTGACCAGAGAATTGAATCCACAACCTTTTGGTGTATGGGAAAATGCTCCAACCAACTGAGCCATCCAGCCAGGGCTATGTGTGCATTTTAAAATAGATATTTTTATTGATTTTTTTTTTTAGAGAGAGAAAAAAACAACAACATCCATGCGAGAGCAAAACATCAGTGTGAGAGCGAAATACCAATCAGCTGCTTCCTGCATGCCCCCTACTGGGGATCCAGCCTATAACCCCGGCACGTGCCCTAACTGGGAATCAAATCAGCAACCTTTTGTTGCTTGGGACAACACCCAACCAACTGAGCCACACTGGCCAGGGTTATGTTTGCTTTTTTTTTAAAAAAAATATTATTTCTTGAATACATGCTTATTATTCAAATGCAAGATAATATAAATACATATACATTGGGAAATCTGGGTCCTGTCCCATCCTTGTTCACTCCATTCATCTCCCCTTCCCCATATAGGTGGCTACTTTTCTTAGTATTCTTCAGTGTTTTTGTGTGTGAATACAAGCAAAAAAAAAACATTCTTATTTTTCCCTCTTTCTTACTCAAAAATTAGTTCACTATATACAACGCTATATACTTTGTTACTTTCACTTATTATCTTGGAGATCTTTCTATAGTGATACATAGTGGACTTGCTTGTTTTTTTTAGCTTTTTATTATCTAGTTGTGTACATGGCTTATTTAACCATTCCCCTATAGACAAACACTTTACTAACCAATGTATTTTTTTTTTAACTCCTTCAGGTGGATATGGACAAAAGTGGTGAAATGCGGCTTATAGAACTGGATGAATCTTTCAAAAGTGAACATACTGTTTTTGTAACACCACCTGAGATCCCCCATCTACCCAATGGTGAAGAACCCCCTTTACAGTACAGGTATTCAAGAGACGAATGTTTGAGATTGAAAGAGAGAAGCAATCCATCATCTGTGACGTAGCTTTCTAAGGACTGTGGTATTTTCAAAAATCCAAACTTTACAGATCCCTAATTTTTAGGTGGTAAGCAAGCTTATCCCACATCCATTGTTAAGTTTTGAGGTATAAAAAGAAAAAATTATAATTTTGTATAGTATAGACTTGGGAACGGGAAGCTCTCTATATCTGCATAAATATCTTTTGATTAAAGTTAGTTAGCTCTCTATCCCACCCAAATGCAGCACTTTTATTATAAAATTTTTAGTTTTGTTTCTCACTAAAGCTGCTTTCCTCACCTTCATCCACTCCCCCCCACACACACACACACATTGGTTAATATATAACCTTGGTTTACAAGGGATTAAATCTAATTTAGAGTCAACATTTGCCTTGATTTGGATGATACAATTATTTTAGGTTATCAGTTTTTCTGTGAGTTTTTATTTTAAGTCAAGGAAATTCAGAACTATTGGAATTGATGATTATTAATTTAGGAAATTTGGTCACACACTGTTCCAAGTGTTTGGTATTTAGACTTGAATGATACATTGGTCCTGCCTTCAAGTCTAGTGGAAAAGAGAGAAAAGTTCTGAGCACAGTGAAATAAAGGTTATGATAGAGATAGACTTATTATACATCTATCTAGGTATATATTATACATATTTATTTGTTATATACTATAGGTAGTTTCCAGTATACATTCATTTTTACTTAAAGTGGTATTTCCTTTTAGATTTTAAGTTATTTTTTTATTCTCCAATAATACTTACTTTATTTAAAGATTCTAAAACCATTTCTCACCTATCATTCATTCATTAAGTCACCATTTGTCATTTACATTTTAAAAGGATTTTTCAAGACATCCTCATTTATAAACCAGATTATTAAATTTGCAAAAGTGGTGTAACAGATGTTTAAAAATATTGGTTAATTCATAGGCTACTTGATTCCTGCCCTTTTCATTTATTGATGATGTTATTCATACCACTTTTGTTTAATCTTCACCCGAGGATATGTTTTATTGATTTTTAGAGAGAGAGAAAGGGAGAGAGAAACATCTATGTAAACGAGAAACATCAGTTAGTTGCCTCCCTCAACCTAGATATGTGTCCTGACTGGGAATCTGACCCAGATTTTGGTATATGGGAAGGTGCTCCAACTGTGCCACTGGCCAGGGCTCATTTCACTTTTTAAAAGTCTGTCTTATGTCAATGTCATTCAAAATATTTCTCCTAATTTCTCTCTTTTTCTTTCTAAATAACATCTCATTTATTTTTTTTTCTTTTGTACATTATACTTCTAAGACTTCTTTTGGTATGTTTACTAATATACTTTTGGGTTTTATTGTGGTTTGGCTTTAACTTTTTAGTTTCAGTCCTTTATTAAGAAAATTACTTAGCTTTAAAAATCCCCATTTTTTAAATAATCATTTTTTCCCTTTATACTACCCAGTATAATTTTGGTGTAATCATGCCCATCATTCAAAAACAACTTAAATGTCTTCAATGAGCAGAACGGGTCCTCTTAATAAGAGATGATTCACATACTTACATTTTCTATATAAAATGATAAGGCAGAATGTTTTCCACCAGCTACACAAAATGGTCTTATTATCACACTATGTATATACAATGCATTTTTTTAAGGGTCATGATTTTCTTTGCTGTTTTATTCCTGAATTTCTTTGATATTTTATTCCTACTTAACATTTTTTTTTTTTTTTTATCCTCACCTGAGGACATTTTCTATTTTTTGTTCAGGTAGAGTGGGAGGGGGAGAGAGGAAGAGAGAGAGAAACATCGATGTGAAAGGGACACATCGAGTGGCTGCCACCCACACGACCAACCAGGGCCGGGGACAAACTGCAACCGAGATACATGCCCTTAGCGGGAACCGAACCCGGGTCTCTCGGGACCGCAGGCCGACGCTCTAACCGCTGAGCCAAACCAGCCAGGGCCCTACTTAACATTTAATCATTACCAATCTTTTATTATTCAGCTGAATTTGCCTATATATAATAGCTATAGCTTACCATCTTTTATTTTCGTTTTCTTTTTAGTTCATTAAAACTATATGTCTTTAAGAATATTATAAAGTAGGTTAAGTATGCTGTTCAGGGGCGTCTTCTGTTCTTTTCAGCATGTCTTTTTCTTAGCTGCTGCTACCTTTTTAAAAAAAATATGTTTTTATTGATTTTTTTAGGGAGAGAGAGAGAGAAATATCGATGTGAGAGAGAAATATTGATTGGCTGCCTCCTGCACGCCCCCTACTGGGGATCAAGCCTGCAACCCAGCCATGTGCCCTGACCGGCAGTCAAACCAGGACCTCTCAGTCTATGGGACATTGCTCAATCCACTGAACTACACCGGCCTGACTGCTGCTACTTTTTAAATGCCCAAACACCTTCTTCTACCACCCAAATTAACAAATTAAACCCACCTCCTCATAGAGCTACCTATTCTAATCTTTTCTTCCTCTTCTCCAACCTCTTCAACTTTCTTTCTCATAAATGAGGCCCTGAACCTGCTAGCTAACCTGATAAACCAATCCATGATAATGTGAGAGCTTGTCCTGGTGTGCTAATATGTTATTTGCATCTTTTAAGAGGAATGTTCTACAGTAATAAGTTAATCCAAAGCAATAATATTAATCACTGTCCTATTTGAAAGAGTATTGATTTGCTGAGCCCTTTACCAACTGTCATATTTTTTGATAAGTTTGCTATATATTTATACAAATACTAACAAAGTGCTTGAATTACTTTGTAATTTAAAGTCAATTCAGCAAAATTTTTTCCTACAAAATATGTATTTGAGTTTATGTTTGGCTGTTACATTTCTAAATATTATAGTGAGAAAAGCAACATTAGCATGAATATTTGTTGAGTATATATCAGATACTCTGATGGAGAAACAGAATAAATTGTAAGTTGAGAAGTTATTGGTCATACATTGTTTAGCTTGTAATAAGTATGATGTGATAATCTATGTGTGCTTGAGATTTTCTTTTTCTTTTCAAAAACAGCTATAATGGATTTCCAGTTCTTAGGAACAATTTGTTTGAGAGACCTGAAGGATTTCTACAAACACAAAAGAGCAAATTGCCTTCAAAATCAAGTAGTCCTAGTAGCCCTTCTCCCATGTTCAGAAGAACAAAACAGGTGCTTTGAGAATTTTGTATTTTTTATGTAATCTGATATTAAAACAAAAATAAATATGACACTCATCCTCCCTTAATATACTTTACTACCTCATATATAACTATGACTAGATTAAGTTCCCTGAAGCTTTCAGAAGATAATTTAGAGTAAGTAGACTTCAAAAAATTTAGTTCTCTTGTCCTAAAATTTATTTTATATACAGTATAATACAAATTGAAGCAGAGGCTTGAAAATATATTAATTGTAAACAGACTTTGTTAGGGAAACATTATAAAAGCAAGTGACTTGTACTTGTTTAGCATGCAGTTAAGTAAGGATGCTCATGTGTGTAAATTTATTAATGAGATCCTTGCATTTTTTTCTAGGAAATTAAATCAGCCCATAAAATTGCCAAGCGGTATTCTTCCATTCCTCAGATGTGGTCTAGGTGTCTACTACGGCACTGTTACGGACTATGGTTTATTTGTCTCCCAGCCTATGTGAGAGTATGTCATTCAAAAGTCAGAGCTCTGAAAACAGCATATGATGTGCTTAAAAAAATGCAGTCAAAGAAGATGGATCCACCTGATGAGGTAACAATTATCTTTATTTATTTATTTTTTTTTTATCCTCACCCGAGGACATTTTTCCATTATTTGCACAGACAGAGTGGGAGGGAGAGAGAGAAAGAGAGAGAGAGGGAAACATCGATGTGAAAGGGACACATCGAGTGGCTGCCACCCGCACGACCAACCAGGGCCGGGGACAAACTGCAACCGAGGTACATGCCCTTAGCGGGAACCGAACCCGGGTCTCTCCGGACCGCAGGCAGACGCTCTAACCGCTGAGCCAAACCGGCCAGGGCGGTAACAATTATCTTTAAAATGCATTATTTTCTAGATTTATGTACATAGATGTTTTGTTTATGTACACTTTTGAATTTACTGTGTTTCAGGTGTGCTACCGTATTCTTATGCAGCTCTGTGGACAATATGATCAGCCAGTACTTGCAATTCGAGTGCTTTTTGAAATGCAGAAAGCTGGTATTGACCCCAATGCCATTACATATGGTTATTATAATAAGGTAATTACTTTTATTTAATGGAGAAAAACTTTTGTGATTATACAGCCTTAATTTAATGGCAGAAATTGTTTATGTAGGAGTTATTTGGCATTTATTTTATAAATCAAGTAATATTTTTGTGTTATTTTGGGTTACACAACCTACTTATTCTTTAGTTTGACTTTAAAACTGTGTTCATTTATAAAAATTATTCTACTAATTATTTTATTTCATTGAACAAATAGGCTGTTTTAGAAAGTACCTGGCCTTCACGGAGTCATAATGGCTATTATCTTTGGACAAAATTAAGAAACGTTGTTTTAGGAGTAGCACAGTTCAAAAGAGCTTTAAAGAAACATGCACATTTATCACAAACAACTCTCTCAGGTAATTAAAGGTTTTTAAGAGATGTATGTGTTTAACTTTTTTTTTTTAATTAATTGACTAGTTATACTTTACATTTTTTTGAAATTTTAAATAGTTTCAAAATATTGAATGTTTTCTAGTTTTTATTGCCACTAAGCAAATTCTGATATTAGAATATTCTTTACATTTAAAAAAACACAAAATTTTCTTTTTTACTTGTAGCTTAAACCATCAACCTTTGGTTTTCTCATTTTGGTATTCGTTAATTATTCACAATAGGGTTCTTTGTTACAGTGTATTTTGCTAATTATGTGGCACTTTTCGTGTTCAGTATGAATAGATTTTTGCTTGAGAACAAAGTAATGTGTATTTTTGGTATCTCCCTGAGTAGTAAAATGCTGTCAAATTGTGTTCTTAAGCAGATGGCAGTGACCTGGATGCTGTTAGTCATGGCAGCATGGATAGTGGTCATGGGACACACACTGTGGAGCAGGCACCTTTTAATACGGGTTTAATCAAAGTATATGCTACTGATGATAGATCTAGTACAGGTTTGTGTGTGCTTATGTATATGTATATTACAGTACATTTTAAAAATTAGATTTGCTTGCCTGTTTTTCTTGGATTTTAATTGTCAATGATATATTTATCTGTCACTTTTTTATTTTATATGTTAGGTACTTGAGTTCATTTTGCATTTAATAACTATATGCAATTTTATTCAGTCTTTAGTTGAATAGAAATAAAATTTTAAGAGTTTATTCAAGTATTTAGTCCATAGTAGTTCAGTTAACTCTGGATGGCAAATAGATCTCTTCATCATACCAATTTTGTAGGATAAGTTCTTCTTTGTAATTATGAAAATGTAATAGAGTTTTTAAAAAAGAAACTTATAGCCCTGATCTAAGTTAAAAGTACTATATCAACATCAATTTACTGTTTCATGTAAAATATTATTATTGTGAGAAGCTGAGTAAAGGGTACATAGGAAGTTTCACTATACTGTATTATTTTTATAATTCCTTATGAATCTTAAACTGTGTTACAAATAAATAATTTAAATAAGTAATATTAAAACTGACATTTAAAAAATAAATTACTTGAATAATTCTATCCTTTTTATTATTACACTAAAAATTTTACATGATTTACAAATATAAGAGCAAGCTCTAACAGACAGAAATTTTAAATTTAAAAAATTCAAGCATTAATAATAAAATATAGCCCTGGCCGGTTTGGCTCAGCGGTTAGAGCATCGGCCTGCGGTCCAGAGAGACCCGGGTTCGGTTCCCGCTAAGGGTGCGTACCTCGGTTAGTCCCCGGCCCTGGTTGGTTGTGCGGGTGGCAGCCACTCGATGTGTCCCTTTCACGTCGATGTTTCTCTCTCTCTCTCTTTCTCTCTCTCTCTTTCTCTCTTTCTCTCTCTCTTCCTCTCTCTCCCTCCCACTCTATCTGTACAAAAAATGGAAAAATGTCCTCAGGTGAGGATAAAAAATAATAATAATAATAATAAAATATAAAGGCTTCTGTCTCTGCAAACAGTAACATTATTTTGGTCTGTCTCATTTTATGCTTGCTTTTAAAAATATAAATATGAGCTAATTGTGTTGAAATGTAATTTTTATAGTTCTTCTTTTGCTGGCTTTATTTCTTAATCATGCAATGTGAATATAATCATAGTTATAGTAGTCATACTCAGGCATTATCTCTTAAAAATGAAGAAGTCTATCTTTTGTTTTTAACTCTATGGCCTTAAAAAAAAAAGACTATCTTAGTACAGAACCTAATAAAAGCATGAATTTAATCGAAATTATCTTCACATTTTTAACTTATAGTTTATTTAGGAATAGAGCTGAAAAATTGGTTACCAAAAGTACAAACTCAAAAATATAATGTATATATTAAATACCTAGTGATACTTAATGAAGTTTCTTCAGATAGTTCTTTACAAGTATATAAAATCATTCTGTACATAATTTCTCATATAATCATAACAACCTTGTGTATTATAAATCTTGGAACTAGAGATCCAAACAAAGAGGTTATATGGTTTACTTCAAATTATATCTAATTTAACTGGTGTGCTGCAAGATAGAGAACTAAGATTCAGAACCTTATGTTTTGATGCTAATCTAGTGAAAATAATTTGCTGAAAAGTAGGGAACCTCTTTAACACAGTGATGTATAACGTATTAGAAGTTTTCTTGTATCAGTGCAACTTTTGCTTTTCTTAACAATAACTTTAACACAATTTTTTTCTCATTCCCATGTATTTGTATTCATGTGAAATTCAGTCCTCAGTTGAATTTTCAGAAAAAGTAATTATATACTTATAAATTCAAATAAACCTTTAAAAAACATTTAGACATTCAGCTTTCTGTGTGTGAAGGTTCTGTTATGAATTCCCTACAGATTTTTCTTCTTCATTGCTTAGTTGGAACTCAGACTTTTAGCTAGAAAGGTCATGGACCTTGTATAAAGAATGTCTGGTTTGTCTGTCTTTTGGAGCCCAGATAGTATTGTGAATGTATATACTTTTGACTGCAGCGTGGAGCCCAAAATAAATTATTTTGAGATTATCCCTTTTTTACATTAATAGAGATGGGTAGGGATCTAACAAAATAATGCTTTCAATTGAAAGTTATCCAGAAAAAGTTCTATGAGTAAATTCAAACATTAATGTGTTGCTCCTAATTCCAGTTCTCACTAAAGAATTTTATGATAAACAGCAAAGGGATTTTTTTTTTCTTTTTTTTCCCCCTAGGTGGCCAGTCTGATCTTGGATATAATTCATTATCTAAAGATGAAGTTAGAAGAGGAGATATATCTGCTGAAGACATTCAAGAAGAAAAAGATAAGAAAGAGAGTGATTCTAGTTCTTGTAGGTATTAAGTGGATATTGTATAAAATTGTGAACATATATTAATAATACAGCTGGCTTTAGCCCTGGCCAGTTTGGCTCAGCGGTTAGAGCATCGACCTGTGGTCCAGAGAGACCCGGGTTTGGTTCTCGCTAAAGGCGCGTACCTCGGTTGCAGTTTGTCCCCAGCCCTGGTTGGTCGTGCGAGTGGCAGCCACTTGAAGTGTCCCTTTCACGTCGATGTTTCTCTCTCTCTCTCTCTTTCTCCCCCTCTCACTCTACCTGAATAAAAAATGGAAAAATGTCCTCAGGTGAGGATAAAAAAAAATAATAAAAATACAGCTGGCTTTAAATATAATTTTATTTTTCACTTTCCCATTATAACTCCTCTTTCCTCCCATTTCCTCCCTCTGTACCACCTAATATTCCAATGTACAAATCTTCATGTGTCAAGTGTATAGTCTCGGTGGCACAACCACTCTGCAATCAAATACTATTCTTCTTGTAGTAGAAATCTATTTCTTCAGTGACTCTTATTTTTTTAATCCTCACCAGAGGATATGTTTTTAATGATTTTGGAGAGTGAAGAAGGGAGAGAGAGAGAAACATTGATGGGAGAGAGAAATATCTCTTGCCTCTTGTATGCACCCCAACTGGGGATCAAACGCAAAACCTAGGTACATGTCCTGACCAGGAATCAAACCCGAAAGCTTTTGGTGTACGGGATGATGCTCCAACCAAATGAGCCACCCAACGAAATAGTGGCTCTTTTTTGAGATTTAACAATATTTTTATTTAATGCTTTATTCATGGTCTGTTGCTTACATTTCCCCCCTTGCCTCTTTTGATGGGAAGTAATTGTACTAAAGAAGTAATATAAAATATATGCATGGACCTCATGCATGAGCAGTACTTAATAATTTGATACATACCTTGAGGCCTCCAGTGTAATTACTTATTTGTGATTGACAAATACATATAGAGGTGTTCAATAATTTTTTATTGCCTATTTTGAGGAGAAATATTTAGAAGTAAAAGCTACTTCTTTTTATACCTTCTGTGATGTATATAGATTTCATGTTAACAATTTCATTTTAATCTTAACAGTGTCAGAGAGTGAGAGTGCAAAAGGAAGTGCTGATTGTCTTCCTACGCTCAATTACCAAAGTTCTTCCAATATAGTTCGCCTCAGTGGTACAAATAACAACAGTGCTGATAAAATATCAGGAGAAAGTACAGGTGAGTTTAATGGTATACCTCTGTTATGTGCAGAATAACTTGTATCTGTATTTCTAGTGAATATTTTTTTTAGTCTTAATTCTCCAGGGTTATTTCTTATTTGTGCAGCCTCTCATAGCATAGTTTAGTAACTTGAATTCTGTATTTTATAATATACTTTATTCAGACTTTTATGACAACACAGTATAGGGACAAACTTAATGAGCTACATACTATCTTTTGAGTTTGGACTATTGGGACTTTGGGGAATGGGGAAGTGGGAGCAATTGAGGTGATCAGGCTGAGGGTACAGTATACCTAGCCAGTTTTTAAATGAAGCATATAGTAGTCCTTAGTCTTCATTTTTTCAGGGGCAAAAGGATAGTCTTTCAGATTATTTAGGGAACAATATACCTGATATTTTTTTTATTTTTTTAAGGAGCAAAAGGATAGTCCTTCGTTTAATAACTCATTTTTTTTTTTTTTAAATCCTCACCCAAGGACATACTTAGAGAAAGGAAGGAAAGAAGAGAGAGAGGGTGAGAGAGAGAAATATCGATGTGAACAAGAAACATCAATTGGTTGCCATCTGTACATGCCCTGGAACCTGAAACCCAGGTATGCGCCCTGACCGGGAATCAAACTGGCAACCCTTTGCTGCTCATGACAGCTTCAACCAACAGAGCCACTCTGGCCAGGCTAATAAGTCAACTTTTTAAGACCTATGATAGGTGTCTTAGGTGTAAATTAGAATTGTTGGTTTATCCTTAAGATTTTTGGCTTGAAAACTTTCCCATCTGTTTAAGTACTATGGGTTTATTACTACTGCCAAAGACTTTATATGGGATTTACAGGAATACTTACTTTTCTTTTTTTTTTTTTTAATGAATTTTTTATTTATTTTTTTGTTACAGATATTTTACCTTTTTACCCCATTGGCACCCCCCACCCCACCCCACCTCCGCCCCGTCCCCGGCTTAGTTGTCCATGTCCATTGGTCATGCATACATGCATATAAGTTCTGTGGTTTATCTCTTCCCACCCCCCCACCTCCCCACCCCCTCTTCTGAGGGATGTCAGTCTGTGCCTTACTTCCATGTTTCTGGGTCTACTGTATTCCTCAGACTGTTATGTTCATTATAGGAATACTTTTCAATAACACATTTCTTATATGCAAGTCCATGCTATGATTCAAAGCCTTTTTCAGAAATATATATATATATATATATATATATACATATCTGACAACTTTTAAAAGATAGAGGAGTAAAATAAGCAGAGATGTTTTAATATTTGATTGGCTATGTCACCCTATAGTTACTTCATTATTATCTTGAGAATTTAACATTTCAATAAATGTTATATGAAATTAAAGTATATAAAATAACTTAAAGAGCAACCACAGAAAAATTTACTCTGAATATGAAAACATACATTTTCTAAGCCTAATTTTGGTTTTAGTATGTTTTTACTTTTTATCTTTAGCTACCACATTCGGCTGTAATAATATCATATGATAATATATACTATGTTATATTATGTCTTAGTCTTTGTGGCAGTTGTTTCCCAGTGGACAGTATTTATTCAGAAATTATTTTTGAGCTCCTATTTTACGCTGCCATCTGCCAGGTGCTACTGGGGATATAATAAGGAACAAATGCCCTGGCCGGTTTGGCTCAGCAGTTAGAGTGTCGGCCTGCAGTCCAGAGAGACCCAGGTTCAGTTCTCGCTAATGGCACATACCTTGGTTGCAGTTTGTCCCCAGCCCTGGTTGGGTCATGTGGGTGGCAACCACTCGATGTGTCCCTTTCACGTCGATGGTTCTCTCTCTCTCTCTCCCTCCCACTCTATCTGAACAAAAAGTGGAAAAATGTTCTTGGGTGAGGATAAAAAAATAAATAAATAAGGAACAAAAAAGAAATAGGGTCTGCCTTCATAGAGAAAACAGGTAGTGGGAAAACATTAATCAAATAATCAAGTAAGTATAAAAATACTCTGAGATTAAATTCTGTGAAGAAGGGCTATAAATTGTCACAAGAACATATAATAGATATGACCTGGGTTTAGGGGAGCACTGTTCAGGGAAGCTTCCTTGAGAATATGGTTTTTGAGCTAGACCTGATGTGTGTGTGTGGGTAACAAATGAAGACAGGGGCAGGAATTCAGAGGGAGTATTCTAAGCAGAGGGAAACAATATGGAAAATGCTGTGTGGTGGGAGGGGATTACAGTATGTTCAAAGGTCTGAAAAAGGGTTAGTATATCAGCTAGGAATTCTTTCAGCTTTAAGCTTCAGAAAATATGATTAGAAGTAGCTTAACAAGTCAAGGTTTTTTCCCCTCAAGTAAGACATTCAAAGGTAAGCAGTTGTTCAGGATTTTGGTTCAGGGCCTTTGCCATCAGTTCTCTGGACCTAACCATGATTATAATATGGCCATTGGCAACTTTAGACACTACGTATCTGTTCAAGGCAGAAAAAATAGGGAAGGGGACCACTAACCACATTTATTCCCTTTTACCAGGAAAGCTAGAAGTTTTTCCAGAAGCCTTCAAAATCTACTACTTTAATAATATTGGTCAGAATTATGTCATAGAGCTACCTGGCCCTAGAAGTTTGCAACTTCTGTGTTAGAGGCACGCAGATCCAAAGCAGTTTATATACATGGAAAATTTAGCATGTATATGAACTTAGAATCAGACTTTTCTATAAATAGTCAGAGAGTAAATACTGTAGGCCTTGCAGGCCACAACACAGCCTCCTGTTGCCTATTCTTCATGTGTGTGTGATTTTTACAACCCTTTTAAAATGTAAAAAACTATTTGAAACAGTTCACAGGCTGGATTTGGCTCAGAGATGTAGTTTGTCAATGCCTGGTATAATTTGATATCCAGCTTTGTTGGTCTTCGGGCTGTAACATAGTTCTGACTTTGCAAAGGAAGCATTAGAAGTCTATTTAAATGCAATTCCAAAATATTATCTTTGGGTTATAATATTCCTCCAAGTCTTTGATACTATTTAGCCTGTCAAGCAGAAAGTGTCCCAGAATATCAGAAGAAAGTGTGTTCTTGGTTTCTTATGTACTTAATCATAAGCTGATGTGGAAAAGAAGAAAAAACACTATCTCTCTGCTATACTGTTTTCCTTGTTAATGATATACAGTCATCCCTCGCCATTCCGTGCTTAAACCTTCGTGGCTTCACTCTATCGCGTTTTTTTCAAACACTATGCTATGTATATTTCTCTCTCTCTTTCCCTCTCCCTTCCTCTCTCTCTAAAATCAATAAAGGAAAAAAAATTAAAAAAACAACAACAACAACTTCAAATCCTATAGCTATAGATGTGACTAAAGAATGTTACCTTCGCCCTAGATGGTTTGGCTCAGCAATTGGAGCATCAGCCTGCAGACCAGAGAGTCCAGGTTTGGTTCCCGTTAGGGGCACGTACCAAAAAAAAAAAACAAAACAAAAGAATATTACCTTTGCTTTATATATTCATTGCAAGTTTATACCAAATGTGAATGGCCACTTTCTGTTCAGAAGCACCACGGTTTCTATTGCAGTTTTTTCAAATACTATACTATGTATATTTGAAAAAACCGTGATAGAGTGAAGCCGCAAAAGTCAAAGTGTGAAGTGGCGAGGGACGACTGTATATAAATAAAGAATCCTACTTCGAGGAAATTCACTTACCTTGGTAGAGTCTGGAACTGATTAACCATGATAAACAAGGGCCGACTGTATGCTTATTAAACAATATTAGTTTGTAGAATTTTATGCTCTCTAGTATTTTCTTTTATCTCCTATCCTGCTACCTGAATGCATCAGATGGCAGGAAAAAAGGTATTTTTTTAAATAATTGCCTTGTTACAGAGAGCTAATTCTGGTGAATGAAGCACATAAAAAGAACAATTGACAAATACCACCTAGACTCAAGCTTTAGAAGACTCTCACATAGTAAGGATGGTTAAAGTGATCAGAAATCTAGAGTTCTGCTTTCGGTATTGGTACCTAAGTAATTTGGTAAGAAGCAGTGAATGGTATTTCTGAACAGAAAGTGGCCATTCACATTTGACTGGTATAAACTTGCAATGAATATAAAAAACAAAGGTAATATTCTTTAGTCACATCTATAGCCATAGGATTTGAAGTTGTTATTTTTTTTTCCTTTATAGATTTTAGAGAGAGAGGAAGGGAGAGGGAAAGAGAGTGAGAAACATTGATGAGAGAGAACATCGATTGGCCGCCTCCTGCACGCCCTCACTGGAGATCTGGCCCACAACCTGGGCATGTGCCCTGACCGGGAATTGAACCTGTGACCTCTTGGTGCATGGGTCGATGCTCAACTACTGAGCCACACTGGCCGGATGGATTTGAAGTTTTCAAAATAATTTTAGTTTGTAGATAAAGCTATCACAGCTGCCTTTTATTTGGTTTGGTTTAGTGTTTGGGGTTTAGTTTTTCATTTTTATAGGCAGAAGACTGTGGCTCTTAAGGTCGTCTAATACAACCACAATTGTATTAACCGTTGTTATTTAATCAGCTTAGTGGAATTAATGTGAGTTTATTATTATTATTATTATTATGAAGTATACCATGAGTAAATTTCAATTTTAATTTATAAGTTTTAAAAAGCAGTGCATTCTAATATTTAGAAGCATACATATCCTTTATAGTTAGTCAAATCTGGATTTGAATCCAGTTCTGTCATTTAAGGACTGAGTAACTGTGGACTAGATAATTAATCTCTCTGAGTGTCAGTTTTTTCTCAATCTATAAGGATATTGGAATAATTATGGTAGATAATGTAAGTAAAGTGCCTAGTATAGTATCAGTCAAATAGCAGGCACTTGATGAGTACTTGCTATTATCCTTTTCATTACTAGTATTTTAAATATTTAAGACAACTTATATTAGCACATTACATTTTTCATGGCTAAAAATACTTTTCTTGTTTTACAGAAAGCACATCTGAGCCACTCTTAATATCACCTTTTGAGGATACAAATGAAACAGGAAACGTTCAAAGTAGTTGCTTCAGGAAAAGATACAAAAATGGCAGTGAACCTGATTTGCAGCAGCAAATGTCCTGGGGAAATAGAAACCGCAATCATAGTGGAGGAGTTGTGATGGGACTTAGGCTCAACAGAATTAACCAGGAAGCAAACCCTGGAGATATGGTTGAAAAACTAGGAGCTGATGCAAAAATTCTTTCACATGTTATCTCAAAAAGCACAAGACCAAATAGTCTTGATATTGGAAGACCATCTTTAAGATCAAAAAGAGACAGTCTAGAAAGGGAATTTAGTGATGATGATACACCTTTTGATGGTTCTAATTGTTTGACAGATAAAGTGGATTCTCCAGTTATTTTTGACTTAGAAGACTTAGACAATGAAACCTATGGGTCAAAAATGGGATGTGTTGCCACACAAAATCCCAAAAGGATTCAACGTATGAACAGCAGCTTTTCAGTAAAACCTTTTGAAAAAACTGACGTTGCAACAGGATTTGATCCCCTCTCTCTTTTGGTTGCTGAGACTGAGCAGCAGCAAAAAGAGGAGGAGGAAGAAGATGAAGATGATAGCAAAAGCATTTCTACACCATCTGCTAAGCGTGATTTAGCTGAAGAAATTGTGATGTATATGAATAACATGACCAGTCCTTTGACTAGTCGGACACCAAGCATTGACTTACAAGGGGCATATGATGAAAAATTAACCGATAAGAAAAGTCCAATATTGGTCAAGGCATGTAGAAGATCTAGCCTGCCTCCTAATTCTCCTAGGCCAATGAGACTTACCAAATCTAAAAGTTATACAAAAAGTGAAGACAGACCAAGGGATAGACTCTGGTCTTCTCCAGCCTTCTCACCTACTTGCCCATTTAGGGAAGAATCTCAAGATGCAGTAACCCATTCATCACCTTCATTTAATTTAGATACACTACTAGTACCAAAACTAGATGTTCTAAGGAATAGTATGTTCACCGCTGGAAAAGGAGTAGCAGAGAAAGCAAGCAAATGGTATTCAAGATTCACCATGTATACATCATCTAAGGTAAGTTTTGTTAGTATTTTCTACTTTTCCTTTTATTCTCCTTCACAAAAATTCCCTTTTACTTGCAGAGATATCTGTTTTTTACATTCTCTTTAAACACAGCTTTTAAAAAGGACTCTTGGGATGTGTAAGGGTTGTATCAGAATTTGAACTTGAATGAGAACTTCAAAAGGAAAGAAATTCACTAACTAAGGTTATGTTTATAGTTCGGTTTTGAAAGAAAGTGATTTATAGATGGAGTAAAAATTAGTGGTATATAAAATGCTCACTTCATTATTTCTTCAAAATGCAGATCTTTTTTCAGACACAATGTCCAGCATGCCTTCAAAAAGTACCAGTCAGGCATAGATAGGACTTCTTATTCTGGTTAGTGTGGAATAGCTTGTGATATAGCTACATACCTCCTAAAAACAAAAAGCTAGAAATATAGAAAGTAGCTGTTTAAAGTCACCAGAGAACTGCTCAAGCAACCAGAAAGCAGAGGGACAAGATTCTAGAGAGGGAAGAATTACAGAGGTGAGCTGAAGTTCTACAGCTACTTTTTCCCTGAGATCATTTGCTTGTTTTGAGCACAGAGCAAGAGTTTGCAAATCCTGTGTTTGCCTTATCAGGGGCTGTGGAGAGGTGAAGGGGGCCAGCAGAGCTTTTGGGACCTTGTAGAGTTGGAGAGACAAAATTGGAGACTTGAGGGTCTTCAAATACACATTTTTTTCCTCCTTCAAGACATTTTTCAAATACTGAAACTATATGAGACAGGAAGCAAAAATGGTAAGCAGAAAGTGTCTGACAGAAAAGAGTTCTTGGAAGTTTTATGGTGCTGGGAATGTAATAGCTACAGTTCATGAGCTGCTGGGCAAGAGGGAGTCGGTGCTGGTGAACACATTAGGCCCTTCGTTGGCGGAGATATGCCTTAGGAACATTGGCAAATTGGGGGTAGACTAAGCCTGACCAAAACTGAAATGTAGGCTCGCCTCAGTTCAGTCTGTGGTTAGATTAAAATAATCAGCCTTTATCTAAAAGAGGAAAGAATGTATCCTTTCTGGAGGAATAGAACATCATCTGGAGTCTGTACAATTTCTTACATTCTGTCATTCAATTCAAAATAGCTATGCCAAGAGACAAGACCATAACTAAAAAACAAAAGGAAAACAGATGGTGGAAACAGACCTTTAGGAGAATTAGCAAGGGACTTTGAAATAATTATGTTAAAAAAAAAAAAAACAGAGGAAAAGGTAAAAAAAAAAAAAAAAAAAAAAGCTCTAAAGATGGAAAATTTCACCAGATAAATATTTATTTAAAAGAATTAAGTATAAATTCTAGAAAAAGATAAAAATTAAGAATACAGTAGTTAGATTTCATAGCGGACAAAACACAGGGAAAAAAGACTAGTAAGCTAGTAGAAAATATCTACACTGAAGCATAGATAAGAAAAAAAATGGAAAAATAAAGAAAAGAATGTGGAGTTTAGTGAAAATGCCTAACAGTGACATAATTGAGTTCCAGAAGAAGAAGAAAGAATGAGATAAAAGGAACATTTAAAAAGCTAATTGCCGCTCTGGCCAGTTTGGCTCAGCGGTTAGAGCATCAGCCTGCGGTCCAGAGAGACTCGGGTTCAGTTCCCGCTAAGGGCACGTACCTCGCTTGCAGTTTGTCCCTGGCCCTGGTTGGGTCGTGCGGGTGGCAGCCACTCGATGTGTCCCTTTCACGTCGATGTTTCTCTCTTCTCTCTCTCCCTCCCATTCTATCTGAAGGAAAAATGGAAAAATGTCCTCAGGTGAGGATAAAAAAAAAAAAAAAGCTAATTGCAAAAAAAAGCTAATTGCCAAGAATTTTCCAAAAGAAAATTAATCAAAAATGTCAATTCACATACTTAAAATATCTACAAATCTCAAGCAGAATAAATACAAAGAAAATCATACTTAGTTATCTAATGTTGAAATAGATGAAAATGAAATACAAAGATAAATCTTAAAAAGAGCCAGAGAAAAGAGATATATTACCTTCAAAGGAGCAATATTAAGAAATTGACAGTTAACTCTTGAACAGAATCTATGATGTCATAATACACTGAATTTTCCATTTCAGACACAATGTCCAGCATGCCTTCAAAAATTACCAGCCAGGCATATTTTGCCATTTATCTTATGATAACGTGGAAGGGAGCGAGGGAGAGAGAGAGAGAAAGGAAGAGAGATAAGAAAGAAACATTGTTATGAGAGGGACACATCAACTGGTTGCCTCCCACACAACTCCAACCAGGGACTGAGGTACTTGCCCTTGGTCAGAATCGAATCTGCTGCTCTTTGATTCGCATGCCAAAGCTCTAACCACTGAGCAAACTGACCAGGGCGTGAAAAGACATCTTTAGTATGCTAAAAGAAAATGACTACCAACCTATTTTTCTATATTCAGCAAAAATACTCTTTAAAAATTAAGATAAGAGTTATAGTTCAATGGTGGTAATATAAGGTCACTAAAGCCTATCCCTCCCATTGATTACAACTAAAAACTCCAGACAAACTACAAAAAACAGCTGTCTAAGGATTCTGAAAAATAAAAGCAGGCAGATTGTGAATAAGGACTCACACAGAGAAGAATTTCCCGTTTTCTTTTCTCATTCATATTTGCCTCAAGAGCAAGTTTCTGTCACTATGTGGTATAGCAAGTCTGGAAACTAAAATTTTAAGAGAAATCCCATATTTCCTGGACAAAGGAACCAAGGAGGGGGCCCTCTGTGAGCTGGAACATTTGAGGGGAATCTGAAAGAAGGGAATTATATAATTGGCCCACACAAGTCTCAAAAATCATAACACAAATTATAATCAAATAACTCAACTGACTGCCTCCTAAAACAAAAGCATTAACATTCTCCAAGAGATTATAACAGTACTCAGACTATACAACATAACATTCACAGTGTCTAAAATAAAATCCAAAATTAGTTGATATATAAAACACCAGGAAAATAATCATCCATTCTCAAGGGAAAAATAACCCTGAGATAGCTCTAACACTGGAATTATAAGAAAGAAACTGTAAAACAGCTATTATAACTAGATTCCCTGAGGTAAAGAAAAACACATTTGAATGAAAAGGAGGGAATCCTTAGAAAGAAATATAATTCATTTTAAAAATGTATAACTAAAAGTAAAAGCAGACAGGAAAAATACACTGAAACTCATTGAATGGGTTTAATAGGAGAATCGAGATGACAGAGGAAAAAGTCTAGAATCTATCCAATTGAAAATAGAGAAATAAGTTTGTTTGTTTTTAAATCCTCACCCAAAGATATTATTTTCACTGATTTTTAGAGAGAGTGGAAGTGTGGGAGGGAGAAAGAGAGAAACATCAATGTGAGAGAGACACATCGATTGGTTGCCTCTCACGTGTGCCCCAACTGGGACTGGGATCAAACCTGCAACCCAGGTGCGTCCCTTGATGGAGAGTCGAACCTGTGACCGTTTGGTGTATGAGCTGATACTCTAACCACTGAGCAACACTGGCCAGGGTAAAAGAAATTTTTTTTTTTTTTTTTTAGAAATTATGTTTTTAATGAAAATGAATGTAACCTCCAATTTTGGGGACAGTTATCAAAAGGCATAACAGATTATTGGAGTTTCAGAAGAAATGGAAAAAGAAGTTATGGAAGGAAAAATATATGATGAAATAAAGGCTAAAACTTAACAGATTTGATAAGAGATTTAGATTTAGAGATAGATGTAAGAGACTCAGTAAACTATAGACAGGATAAACTCAAAGAAAACCATTCCAACACACACAGGCAAATTACTAAAAACCAAAGATATTTATTTAATAAAATGACTGCTGAAAAAATAAAACAAGAATAAAAAATATCTTAAAATCTTTTAAAGAAAAGTGATACCTACAGAGGAATAAGGATTTGAATGACCATTTAGTTTTGATCATAATCCATAGAGGTAAGAATACAGTGGAACAACATCTTTAATGTGTTGAAAGAAAAAACCTGTCAACAACCCAGAATTCATATCCAGTGGAAATACTCTCTAGGGGTAAAAGTGAAATAAAAACACTTTTTGATAAAGGGAAAGAATTCTTGGCCAGCAGACCTGTTCTAACAGATGTGCTAAAGGAAGTTCTTAAGGCAAAAAAAAAAAATGATACCACAAAGAATGAAGAAAAAGGAAACAGATGTAAATAGCTGATTAATAGAAAAGACTACTTCTTTCCCTCTTAAATTCCTTAAAATACTTATAATTGTCTAAAACAAAAATTGTAACATCTCATGGGCTTTTTCTATATATAGAGAGAGAGAGAGCTGTTTTGTAGTGGTAAAGGGACTCACCCTACTGATGTTTATTATACACAGTGGGGTATAAGTAGGTTTACAGTTGTGAGTACATGAAACAGTTTATTCTTGTATTATTATTTATTAATTATTGTACTCCATACACAAAACTGTAAACCTACTTTTGTCCCACCCTGTAGTTATATTATTACATATAAAGTAATACAATACTGACTTTAAGTAGTCTGAAAATAAGTAGGTGTGTATATTGTAATCTCTCGAGCACCCACTTAAAAAATAAAGTGAGAAGCCTGCCTGGTTTGGCTCAGTGCCAGAGCATCAGTCCACAGACCAAAGGGTCATGTGTTTGATTCCAGTCAAGGGCACGTACCTGGGTTGCAGGCTCTATCCCTGGCCCCAGTCAGGGTTGTGTGGGAGGCAAACAATCGATATGCCTCTCTCACATTGATGTCTCTTTATCTCTCTCTCTCCCTCTCCCACCCTCCCTCCCTTCCACTCTATCTAAAAATCAATGGAAAGATATCCTTGGGTGAGGATTAACATTATATATATACACACATACAGAGTGAGCCCTAGCCAGTGTAGTTCAGTTGGTTGGAGCATTGTCCTATGCATGGAAGGGTTGTGGATTCGATTCCCAGTCAGGGCACATACCCAGGTTGTGGGCTCTATCCTTGGTCAGGAGGCAGCTGATCAGTGTTTCTCTCTCTCTCCCTTTCCCTTTCTTTCTCTCCATAATCAATGAAAAAATATATCCTCAGGCGAGGATTAAAAAAGTATATACAATGAGATGTAGCCAAAAGCCCATAAAAATACTCAAATAATCTAAAAACAACTCAGTAACACATATATAATTAGAAACAAATTGTATCATCTGAGCAGTGTTATAGATATTAATTTTTTTCTTCCCACAAAAATTTGTATCTATCATATTTTTTTATGGATTATTGGTATAACCAGAAAAAAATTAACTTTGGTCTTCTCAAAAGTGAAAACTAGAAATACATGTCTCTAAAACCTGGATTATTGTGGAAAAGAATAAAATATAGCCCTGGCCGGTTTGGCTCAGCGGTTAGAGCGTCGGCCTGCGGTCCGGAGAGACCCGGGTTCGGTTCCCGCTAAGGGCACGTACCTTGGTTGCAGTTTGTCCCCAGCCCTGGTTGGGTCGTGTGGGTGGCAACCACTCGATGTGTCGCTTTCACATCGATGTTTCTCTCTCTCTCTCTCTCCCTCTCACTCTATCTGAACAAAATATCGAAAAATGTCCTCGGGTGAGGATAAAAAAAAAAAAAGAATAAAATATAAACATAAATGAAATTTTAAAAGAAGAAAATGGCATTCTAATGGTATCATCTGGGTTGAGAGTCACAGGGAAGAAAATTAACAATAAATAGAGATTTAAAGTCAGCAAGGTTATCTTACTAATAGATACTTTGATCTACCCAAAAAATGCTGTCTTAAAAATTGATCTACAGTACATGTTGTTCCAAATTAGTATGCCCTTATAAAATCAGTTGTTTTGAAGTTGTAATATTGGTTAACTGATAATCTGAGTAATTAAGCACTTCCTCTGCCTTAGAAGTGACTTTTTATTTATTTATTTTTTTATATATATTTTTTGAATCTTTATTGTTGAATGTATTACAGATGTTCCTCATTTTTCCCCCATTGACCCCCTTCTCCCCACTCCCGCTTTTTCCCACTATTGTCTGTGTCCGTTGATTATGCATATAAGTTCTTTGGTTTATTTCTTCACACCCCCCAACCCCTTTCCCTTTGGGGTTTGTCAGTCTAGTAGAAGTGACTTTTTAAATAATAAACTTTAAATATGAAGGAAAGTAAGCTTATAATTATGTCCTTAGGATCAAAGTTCTGATCGTACCAGTCTTTCTTCAGTGGGAGCCCAGGATTCTGAATCTACCTCTTTAACAGATGAAGATCCCTGCCCCGAGTTGGAAGGAGCCACTTCCTCCCAAGAGTGCAGTGCCACCACAGGGACTAAGGGAATTGGTTTCAGCAGAACAAGCCTAGGAAGTTCTGCCTCCCTAGAAGGTTTGTTCAAACAGTATTGTCATATTTCATTTGATAGGTGGTACCTTTACTTTTTTTTTTTCCTTTACATTTTATTTTTGTAGAAGATTTGCATGGCTCCAAAGTCAAAATAGAAAACCAAGGCACTTGCATATAAATCTAGCTTCCATCCCCACCCCCTTCATCTTGTTTTCTCCCTGTCCCTAGAGGTAACAAACCATTTTTATTCATTTTGGTTTATCCTTCCATTGTTGCTTTAAAAAAAAATAATAGGCACGTGTGTGGGTGTGTGTATTCTTATTACCTCCTTGTCTTGTTACTAGAAAGGTAACATATTGGAAATACCTTCCCACTCTTTTTTCCCCACTTAACAGTAGATCATTACTTATCATTATATAACATTGTCCCTCAGTCATTTTTACAGTTGCATAGTTCATCATGTGTCAATGTATCATACTTTATTTTAACCACTTCTCTGTTGATGGACATTACATCTCCAGTCTTTGACTATTACAAATAATGCTATGATGCATATGTGTCGTATTATATTTTTGCCAGGGTACTTTGAAAGATACTTCAAAATTCTTCCTTGAAGTGATATTGCCAAGTTCCCTTCCTCAGGGCTACACTATTTTGCATTCCCACTGGCAGTGGGAATATAAGAATACCTATTTCCTCACAGCCTTGTCAGCAAAATATATTGGCAAACTTTGGATTTTTGCCATCTGATAGGTGAGGAATGCATTTCAGTTTAGTTTTCATTTATACTTCTTTTATAAACTAAGTTGAAGATCTGTTTATATGTTTAAGGACTATTTGTATTTCTTTTTCTGTGGACTGTCTATTGCCTACATTTCACTTGTTGGTCCTTTTTTAAAAAGATTTTAATAGGCCCTGGCCAGTTTGGTTCAGTGGTTAGAGCATTGGCCTGCGGTCCAGAGAGACCCGGGTTTGGTTTCCACTAAGGGCATGTTGTCCCCGGCCCTGGTTGGATCGTGCAGGTGGCAGCCACTCGATGTGTACCTTTCACACCGATGTTTCTCTCTTTCTCCTTTCCTCTCTCTCCCTCCTGCTCTATCTGAACAAAAAATGAAAAAAAGTCCTCGGGTAAGGATAAAAAAGAAAAATTTTTTAAATCAAAATAAAAAAAGTTTTAATAGCTCTTTTTATATTGAATAATTAATCCTTTGCCTCTTATATAAATGGCAGATACTTTTTCCAAGTTTGTCAGCTTTTGTGGGGAGGATTTTTGGTCACAAGTAAGATTTTAATTTTATGTCATCAAATTTATCAGTCTTTTTCTCTCTTGTTTCTGGATTTTGAGTCATTAGGAAAGATTTCCCTTTCCCTAAGTTCAACAGTGTTTTCTTCTGATACTACTCTGGTTTCCTTTGTAACATTTTCTGGGGTAAGCAAATTTTTCTGTAAAGGGCCTGCCATATTATAAATATTTCAGGTTTTGTGGGCCATCATACATCTCTCTCTTTTTTCTTTATCACATATTCTTTTTTGTCTTTTTTTTTTTTTTAACAATTCTTTAAGATAAAAAAAACATTCTTAGCTATACAAAAATAGATTTGACCCCTGATTTAGATATTCAGTCCATTTGAAATTTATCCTGGTATGTGATGTGAGGAATGTATGAATATATATTTTTTTATTTGTACCTTTGCTATTTTAAAAAACTTTAACTGTGGAAAATTTTAAAAGTACACACAAATAGAAGGAATAGCACAATGAATCCCCCCAACACCATATGCCCTTCATCCATTTTCAACAATTATCTACAAGTGGCCAATCTTGTTTTATATTTTCCTCTACCCCTCTGCTGCCAACATTTTTTTCTTCTTCACTGGATTATTTTAAAGTAAATCTCAGACACATGTAATTTTATTTATAAATGCTTAAATATGTATCTCTAAAATATAAGGACCTTGATGTTATATATTTTTAACTTATTAAAGTTATTTAATTTATTTTTATTTTAGTATATGTTATATACATATATATAATGTATACACTTTCATGTATGTAAATAACATTTTATAAATGGAGGACACCTGAGTAACCAGCACTCTGATCAAGAAACAGAACATTAACAGTATCCAGAACTTCCTGTCACGCCCAGATCTTGTCTCTACTCCTTTCATGGACAAACATTATCTTCTAATACTGTATGTTAGCATGGCCATTTTAAAACATTTTATGGACTTATATGGTATGTATCTTTTGTGATACATTAATTTCTTGAAAACATAATTGTAATACCATTGTATTTTTCTCTTTTTTAAAAATTTATCTTTATTGATGAAAGTATTACAGATGTTCCTCTTTTTTTCCCTCACCGACCCCCTCCACCCCACACCTGCCCTCCACCTCAGTCCTTCACTGCACTATTGACTGTGTCTATGGGTTATGCATATATGCATGTAAGTTCTTTGGTTAATCTCTTCCCACCCACCCACCCACCCTTTTCCTCTGAGATTCATTAGCCTGTTCTATGCTTCCATGTCTCTAGAATTAAACACTTTCTTGTATTTAACATGGAAAAACACAAACAGAAAAATAGTAATTATAAACAACTAGAATGCCTTCTAGTCTGCAAACACAAAGTGCTTAAGTGAGTGGTGAATGAATATGGGAATTAGAAGAATCAAAGTACATTTCTTTAGGTTTGTAATGACAACAAAATGCATGTGTTGAGTCTGACTGGTGTGGCTCAGTTTTTTGAGCGTTGTCCCATGTACCAGGAGTTCGCTGGTTATATTCCATGCCTGGGTTTTGGACTCAATCCCCAGTAATGGGTGTGTAGGAAGCAGCCAATCAATGTTTCTCATTGATGTTTCTCTCTCTCGCCCCTCTCCCTTCCTCTCTCTGAAATTTTTTTAAAAAATCCTTTAATGCATGCATTGAAAACCATTTATTCATTGTTTTTTTCTAAAATTACCTTTAATATTTTGAATAGAACAGTTTGACATTTTATCAAAGAATTTAGGAAGGTGGCCCTGGCCAGTTTGGCTCAGCAATTAGAACATCGGTTCACAGACCCAAGAGTCTCATGTTCGATTCCAGCCAAGGGCATGTACTGTGGTTGTGGTTCTTCCCCAGCCCCGGTTAGGGTCATGTGGGTGGCAACCAGTCAGTGTGTCTCTCTCACATTGATGTTTCTCTCTCTCTCTCTTTCCTTCTCACTCTGTCTGAAAATAAATGTAAAAATATCCTCGGGTGAGAATTAAAAAAAATTTTTTTAAAAGAATTTATGATGGTGAAAGATTCTCATCTCCTTTCTCATTAATTTTAATGCTTTTACTCTTTGTTTTTTAATAATGGATAGGATCCCTTTCAAAGTTTGCCTTACCTGGGAAATCAGAGATGGCATCTTCCTGCAACACGAGTAATACAAATATCTTCCAGAACTATGCAATGGAGGTACAATTTTAATCAAAAGAACATTTTTATGTACTACTTTATGAAATTTACATTTCTTAAGAATTGATGGTCATGGATAGAGTAATAAAATGTTAAATATGTAGCATCTGAAAATTTTAGAATGTATGTTGCACCTGAATAAACTTAAAATATCTGGTATTTCAGATTATTGAAGTCATACTACTTTACCTCTATTTAGAAAAGTTACTTTGAGATTTAGCAACATACAAAAGCATTTTCATTTTCAGTATTTATATTTATCCCTTGTTATATGTATGTTCTCTTTGGATTTTTATTTTACATCTTAAACACAACCAATTTTGCTATGCAAGCACACTTGTTTGATGAGGGTACAGGGAGCAATTTTGACATTTATGTCAACTTTTTCATCATGTTTTTCGTTCTTTGTATCGGTGTGCTGCCATATCTCATTTTCTAACAATGAAAAAGTTATTCTTTTACCCTTTAAATTTTTTTCCTAATTTGGGGGTAAAAATTGCCTTCAAATACATTTGCGAGTGTTGTTACTATTTCATGCTAATTTGCATAAAGTTGAAAAATTTGTATGCATCTGAGTAAATGATGAGTACTGGTGTTGCAATTTACAAAGTTCCTGATGACTTCAGGAATTTCTACATTTTATTAATGTAAAGATAGTATTTATATTTATCTATAGCAACTATCTATAGTGACAGATCAGGGGTTTATTGTTGTTGTTTTTTTAATCTCCAATCTGTCATGGCTGATACTCTTATAAAATATATTGATCACACACTTAGATGTTACAGCATTGACAAATTACTTTAAAGGTTTCTCAATCGTCCCTTCAGCCTCTTTACTTATCTCATCACAAACCAGTAAGAGTTTGTGAACCAACACTTGTTTGGTGACCTTACTTTGAATAACACAAATCTATAATGTATAATTTCAAATACTTATTAACAAATTATTCTTGGGCCCGGCCAGGGTGGCTCAGTGGTTGAGCATCAAGCAAGGGGTTGCCGGTTTATTCCTGGTCAGGGCACATGCCCAGGTTGTGGGCCAAATCCTCAGTGGGGGGCATGCTGGAAGCAGCCAGTCGATGTTCTCTCTCATCAATGTTTCTATCTCTCCCTTTCCCATCCTCTCTCTCTAAAATCAATAAAGGAGAAAAAAAATTATACTTGGGTTTACTTCTCCATGGCAGGTTTTATAGTAATTATAATGGTTAAAATGCTCACTTTAAATGCAAGTTTCCTTTTCAGGCAAAATTTGTAGAATAGATTTAGCTGAAATAGTTAAATATGAGTATATTATATAATGCACTGAATGTAATTCATATTTTGTAACTTCTGGATCCTTCTGAGTTTTACTTTCCCAGTAGATTAATGAATTGAACTGGTTTTTAATTTATAATATGCATTAACCAGCTTACTTTATATAGTGCCATTTTCTTCCACAGGTTCTCATCTCGAGTTGCTCTCGGTGTAGAACCTGTGATTGTCTTGTCCATGATGAGGAAATCATGGCTGGCTGGACAGCAGATGATTCAAATCTCAATACTACATGCCCATTTTGTGGCAATCTTTTCTTGCCCTTTTTGAATATCGAGATTAGAGATTTAAGACGACCTGGAAGGTAATGATTTATGCTTTTTTTCCATCATGTTTAAGGGTCACGTTTCCTAGAATCTCTCTTTTCTCAATAAGCTCCTTTGATTCCTATTATAGATACTTTTTGAAGTCAAGTCCATCTACAGAAAATATGCATTTTCCATCCTCCTTTTCCAGTCAGACAAGGCAGTCTTGTATCTCGACATCAGCCTCTGGTCTTAACACATCTGTTGTCTCTGTTCAAGGGAATTTTGATTTAAATAGGTAAGTGTGATTATGTGGAGCTATATTTTAACAATTTATATTATAAGTGTTTTTGATAATGACAAAAATTAGCTAAACATTTTAAGGTTTAAATTGCTATGTATAATGGACTCATAATCTTAAATTTTTCTAAGTAAAACAATATTAAAATTATCTAATAACCTAAATTTTAAACAGTTAATAGTTCATGCTCTATGAATCCCCAAAGTGTAAGCTATATAATTCATATATTATAATGTTTACTAGAATTTTAAAGGTTAAAATTTTGTAGAACACTTGAAGTTTATAATGAACACCTTTCTCTTGTGTCTATCTCTTCTTGAATTATATCAGTACACTATTTTGGAATATTTAATTTTCTAGTTAGGACTATTTAATAATCTAAGAAAACATTTGGAGCAGATAAAAGAACTGTAAAATTAAACTAAGACTTATACAGTAAGTCTAATATAAGTAAATCTACGCTTAAAACAAATGCATAAATCAACTTTATTTTGGAGAAGTGCCAGATATAGATAGCTGGGCAGATGAAGCCATATTGGTAATTGCACGTACAAAAGAAAGTAAGTGTCTGCATGGTGCTGGCAGGCCAACATGACCTGTGTAACCTTGAATGCTTAGGCAGCGAATCTGGGTGTTGCTCTTTCATCACAGGTCTGTTGTAGCCCTTTCTTTGACTGCCACTAGCTTGTAAATGGTGGGAATCTCCCTTCCCACTAGCCACCTATTTTCTCTGCTTTGTATTCTCTGGGCCCTCTGTGGTTCCTGAATTGATGACTCTTGAATATTTAAAGTCCACTGGATAAAAAGGAAATTTAACATGACTAGACTCCTTAAAAATATATCCTTTTTCCTAGCTGAAGCCTGAGTTCCTTGGATTTACTTTGCTATGTCCAGCTCTGATGCTAAAGAGAAGAATATGATTTTTCTTGATGAAATAAAGTAAATCTAGACAATGATACTTTTTTCTTTTTCAATACCCAAGCAAATCTAAACAGCTGGAAAATACATATGCCCGAAGTATTCAGATCCCTACTGATAGATCAAAAACAGCTATATCAAAATGTCCAATATTTCCAATGGCCAGGAGTGTCAGTACTTCCGGTCCCTTGGATCAGGAAGACACTGGAGGACAGAAGCTCATTCCTACTGGCAGCCTGCCAACTACTCTGCAAGGAGCTACAGTATGTATTGTGATGTTTTTAAAATTTTGGACATTGATAATTCACATGATTTTGTTCACCTTGTCCTAAACATCCTTATTAGCTTTAATTTTTTAAAATCCTCATCCAAGGATATGTTTATTGATTTTAGAGAGTGAGGAAGGAAGAGAGAGAAAGAAAATCATCAATGTGAGAAAAACATTGATCAGTTGCCTCCCTTACCCCTACTGGGGATCGAACCCGCAACCTTTCTGGTGTACAGGATGAAACTCCAACCAACTGAGCCACTTTTTAATTTTATTATTGTTGAGAAGAGTCTCCAGTCTCATGATATAATTATAGTATCTTTCTACTTACACGGAAGTCATTGACAGGAAATTTTTTAATGACTTAGTATCATCAATCTTACATATGCCATTTATGGTTTTTATTTATTCAACAGGATTCTTTAGGATTAGAATGGCACCTCCCAAGTCCAGATCCTATCACTGTCCCATATCTTAGTCCTTTAGTGGTATGGAAGGAACTTGAAAGCTTATTGGAAAATGAAGGAGATCATGCAATAACAGTGGCAGACTTTGTGGATCACCATCCAATTGTTTTTTGGAACCTCGTGTGGTATTTTAGACGTCTTGATTTACCCAGTAACTTACCTGGATTGATTCTTTCTTCTGAGCATTGTAACAAGTATTCAAAGGTATGAAAGTAAAAATTAACTAAAAGGCAATGCTATTGTCACCATTGTAATGTTTGCACATTCCTAATGACAAAAAAGGGAATGTTTATGCTATTTTTAATGCCATTTAAAAGGGTTGATCTAATTGCATTTACAAATAATTTTTCTTCTTATAGTCTAAGTCATGTTTTTTAGCCTTATACATTTTATACAGAATGGGCTTGCATTTACGTTATGGCCTCAAGAAAAAACTGTAAATGACTCTTATAAGAAGAGTTTGTGATTGGCCCCACTCATGTCTCATACCTCCTTCAAAACAATCCTAATACTTATTTAAGGGGATGTCTCTAATTCTTATTGCAGTCGTGTGCTACCATTCTCTTCATTCCTTTACTTTGAATTTTTGCTTAATATTTAGGTAATTGGTTTGTTATATGTTCATTTGTAGTTTTGATATGTTCTATAAAAGTGTTTTTACTTTTTTATATGCTATCACTACCACTAAATTGCAAAATCTCTTAAGTTCAGAACCTTGTCTTCTCCTTTCTTATACTTTATGTCTGATTGTGCACATGCTTGGGATTTTTAGTACATGATGAATGAGTGACCAAAGGTTAACTCAGTCAGGGTTATCTGTGCTAGGGTCTTGGGCTGATGTAGAATGGGGCTGCTAGATTTATCTTTGTTTGGACCCTCAATCATAAACTGGTAGAGATTAGCTCTTCATGCTACCCCTTCTCACTGATCTCAGTACTTTGTAAAATCTATTCAGAGCAGAGATCTCTTTACTTTAGAGATCATTAGATTATCAACTCATCCCATCTTCCTTCAGTCAGTATAAAATGCATACAAACCAGTTATTTTCTGTTCTCTTTTTCACTTGCACACATACATCCTAAAAAATATTTATAAAGATGTTTATAAAACATTATGTAAGAATTATTAATGAATGTTTGTTTATTCTTCAACACAGATTCCCCGTCACTGTATGTCTGAAGATAGTAAATATGTTTTAATACAAATGTTATGGGACAATATGAAATTACATCAGGATCCGGGACAACCCTTGTACATCCTCTGGAATGCCCACAGTGAGTTCCATCATAGAATGCTGGCTTCGTTCATATGAGCATAATCTCTACTTACTTTAAATAGCCTAAACTAACGTATAATTGACTTTTATTTTACTATACTACTTTTTGTCTTACAGGTCAAAATCGTACTCTTTTGTTTGAGAGTGAGTGTTAAGTTTGATGTTTTTAGTGCTTATCTTCTATGGAGGTCAAGGGTTTTTTGGTTTGTTTGCATTTTACATAGTGCTGTATATGTGCTGGAGGGGTTATGTTTTGTAGAGTTCTGCTTTTAGCACATTGCTTATCTGTTCTTTATACTTACATTTGTCTGTCTGTTTCCATCTCGGGCTGCTGATGTAGAATTTCCCCTGGGGGTTGTATTAAAGAAAACAGTATTTTTAAGTTTTGTCTTTGAGGCCAAAACACTTTAGGCCTATTTTATTTTTATCATTATTTGTCTTGTGCTTTTTTTTTCTTTTATTCTTTCTTCATTCTTCGATTTCTATTGCCCTTAGTTTATTTTTAGTGCTTTGTAACTTCTTTAATAGCTATCAGTTGCTGCTTAATTACATTCTCCTTTCCATAAAGAACATTTTCCCTCATCTGATCTTTGGTTCTTTTACAGCCCAAAAGTATCCAGTGGTCCATTTATTGAAAAAAGGTGATAATTCATTTAGCCAAGAACTATTGAAAAACATGGTAAAAAGCATTAAAATGAATGATGTCTATGGACCAATGAGTCAGATTTTAGAGACGCTGAATAAATGTCCTCATTTTAAAAGACAGAGGTAAGTTCTTATCTTAAATTAATATATTGTTCTTCTAAGCATATTAATGTTGTTTGCTTAGTAATTTGTTAGAATATCTCATGCTTGTATTAACATAAACGTTTGTAGAGAATAAGTAGACTATATGCATAATAATATCTTCTCCATTCCTTCCCCCCTCCCTAGGAGTTTATACAGAGAAATACTATTTCTCTCACTTGTGGCACTGGGAAGAGAAAACATTGATATAGGTAATTCAGCATAATATGTAACACGTAATATGTATATATCATAGTATAGTTTTCATATTGGTAGGCTTTATTATTTTAATATTAAGTTATATTAAAATAATAGAAGAATAATTTTTTCTTTTTTTTTTTTATATGAGATACTTTGATATTCTGGAAATGTTAATAATAATTAATTAAAGCTAGCAATAAAATTTCCATATGATCCAGCAATTCCACTTCTGGGTATATACCCAAAAGAACTGAAAGCAGGGTCTTGAAAGAGATATTTGTACAACCATGTTTATAGCAGCATTAATCATAACAGCTAAAATGTGAAAACAACTCAAGTATTCATTGAAGTATGAATAAATAAACAAAATGTGTTATATACATACAATGAAATATTATTCAGTCTTAAAAAGGCAGGAAATTCTGACATATGCTACAATATGGATAAACTTTGTGGACATTATATTAAGTAAAATAAGCCAGTCACAAGTCACATACTTTATGATTCCACTTATGAGGTACTTAGAGTAGTCAAAATCATAGAGACAAAAGTAGAATGTTAGTTGCCAAGGGGTGGAAGAGAGAAGAAGAGGAATTATCGTTTAATGGGTATGGAGTTTCAGTTTTACAAGATGAAAAGGGTTATGGAGATGGATGGTTATAATGGTTGCACATTATGAATGTATGTAATACCACTGAACTGTATGGTTAAAAATGGTTAAGATGGCAGCCCTGGCTGAGTAGCTCAGTTGGTTAGAGCATCGTCCTGATATGCTGAGTTTGAGGTTCAGTCCCCCGGTCAGGGCATACACAAGAAGCAACCAATGAATGCATAAATAAGTGGAACAACAAATCAATGTTTCTGTCTGTCTCTTCTCTCTCTCTCTCTCTCTCTCTCTCTTGTTTTCCCCACCCTTTCCTTTCTTTCTCTCTAAAAAAAAATCTATTTAAAATGGTTTAGATGATAAATTTTATATTTTATATTATATATATATTTTACCTCAATTTGAAAATTTGAGAAAAGCTGTTTTTAAAAGTTGGCATCTTAAAGCTTTAAATTGCACTGGTCTGTGTAATCTAGTTCCAAAATGCTATGGACTCTAAAGTCCCCATGTTCCAGCTGTGAAATTCTGTGGTCCTTGAGTTATCAGAAAAGACCTTGAGATTCCTTCTTGGCCTTTAATTTAGCAGTTCTGTAGTATTACAAAGCTTGTTTGTTGTCAGTATCAAATATAAATTTCTTTATGCCTTTATTTCTTTGAATTTTTTCAGATGTATTTGATAAAGAATACAAGATGGCTTACGATCGTCTCACACCTAGTCAAGTTAAAAGTACACACAACTGTGATAGACCGCCAAGTACAGGGGTGATGGAATGTCGAAAAACCTTTGGAGAACCTTATCTTTAAGAAGTGTGTGTGTGTGTGCGTGTGTGTGTGTGTGTGTGCACTTTCAATATGTATTGTATAATCAGTGTATAAAATAATAATTTTAGACTCTAAACTTTTTTTCTTCAATTTTTGAAAATGAATTTGTAAATGGTTCAGAATGTCCATATAACTTATGTACAGAATGTTTTACGAAGAGAATAGTGACAAGTGGGGAGAGGCCACTTTGTTTCCCATTTCCTTTTTTTCCTCTTTACTTTCCCTGTAACAAGCAATTATTTTTATGATGAGGAAATCCTTAAACAAAATTAGTTTCCATAATATAAAATAACCATTTTATGGTTTCTCTTGGAAGAGACAGGTTGAAAACTCATGTATGGAACTTGAACTAATGTAGGGTCAGAGTATCTCCTGTTTTCATAGACTAGTCAAATGTTTTGACCATGAAGTTGTATTATACATATTTTAAATTGTTTATAGTAAGTTGATATTTTTAAAATTTTTAAACTTAATATAGCAAACTTAAAATGAACTTAAACTTATGAAGCAAGCAATTAAGTGCTTATTTTCCTTGTCTGCTATTTGAAATAATTAGTACAGCTGCAGATCTCTATATGTATATCTATCTATCTATCTATCTATCTATATATTTTTTATTACTTGGGAGAATAATTCAAAAATGTCAGTGCTAGTGTCCATGTTGTCCTAGAATTGCATGTTAGTTCTCCTAAGCCTGACTTGAGTGAGTGAGTAATGGGAAGGTGTGCACTGCCCAGACTGACTCATGAGCCTTGTGGAGGTAGAGTCCCAGAGGTTAGAAGTCTGCTGCTGCACAATCAGGTTCAGCATACCACAATTCCAACCTTTCTCTATTGCTAATAGATACATACAATACACAGGGAAAATAGCTTACAAAGCCAAATATCAATTTAAATTTTGATATTCTACATAAATACGTATGTTGGGAAATACATCAGACAATTTATTCCAAATTTTAACCTTAATATCTAAAATATTGGGTATGATGCAAATTGTACTGTATTTATTGGGAATAAGACTTACTGGAGTATTTGGTTAATATTATATAGAAACGTAAATATTGAAAATTTTTTTTTCAAAAGTAGAAAAGTAATAACTCTCTAAAAGTAAAGCCAGAGAGAATTTCCCATATTGAGGAACTTGGATTTTTCAATAAGCCTTCAGAATCTGAAGTTTATGGAATTTAAAGTCCAGAGATTTCCAGAAATCAGATAATAAATTGAATGTTTAAGCATCATTGGTAGACTCTAGACTCTAAAAAATAGTTTCAGTCTCATTATTTCTACTATCACTTTCTTTGGGTAATTTCTGATAAAAAATATTCTTTGGTTAAAATTATTTATAGATTTTCAGTATGTGTATGTGTATGGTTTACACATATTGTCATTCAGGAAGGAATTTTCTAGCCAATTTCAAAGGAAAAAATGGATGGTCCCAAATTATGTGTATAAAGCCAGTGGAGCCCAGGACATTTGGACTGGAGATGTCATGAAGTCAAGACTTAGAATCAGTTCAACTGCAGGAAAACCACCTTTTGAGTTCACATCATTAGTGAATATCACCAAGCTCAAACATTTCACAGCTTTCTACTCTGAGAAATAATGGGAAGAGTTTAAAGATGTAAAATTTTAGTTCAGTTAGTTTGGGCTGATCTTGCTTACTTGAAAAATCTGGTGCTATGCACATGTATCTGCCTCTCCGTTGTAAATACCACTCCAATTTTATCTTTCATTATTCAAATCCAAGCTTCACATTCTAAGTGAGTCTTCTGTTTTCTAAATCACTTATAAGTTGTCTAGTGAGAAACGTGATAGGTAAGGCTTTTGGCCTTGGCCAGAAACATCCCTTCAAACTGGATTCTGGGGTTCTATTCTGTTGTTTGTTTGTTTGTTTGTTTGTTTGTTTGTTTGTTTGTTTTCCCCTTGTAACAACAGCTTTCACTATTATTTACCTTTATCTTTAACACAATATAAGTCATAGTTAATGATTTCAAATATTTGACCAAAAAAGGTGTAGTAAAAAGTGAAAGTAATTTGTATCTTCTCTCCCAACACGTAGTTTTGTTTCTGCTTTTGGTTGGGTTTTGGTTCCACTACTTTTAATTCCCAAGGAATATTATTTGCACAAATTGAGTCTTTAAAAAAAAACACCCTGAACCATGAATAGGAAATGGTAGACTCTACTCAAAACAAAATTAAAATATAGATCATTCTTTAAAATAATTCTATACATACTTTCCTTCAATTTTTTCTCTGTTGATCATACATTTTAGAGAATCATGGCCAATTGTATTGGAGAGAAATACCCTTTGCTACATTATCGTTCTCTTATTTTCTTACTCTTAGTTTTGTGTATATGTTTAATAGTTGAAAATAAATCATTCTGTGTCCTGGTATAACTTGTTTACTACTTCCTTCAATTGTGTTTGAATGTCACACATTTGTATTTTATATCATATTTTAGTATTCAACTTTTCATCCTATTATCAGGTAGGGAATTATGCAGCCTCTTCATATTCTGATTTTTGTATTTTATGATTGGAATTTTTTTTTTATTTTTTATTTTTTTGCTTTAAGACCCTAAAACCACCAGCCTGTTTTATTATAAGGTTTTCTAATATGTCTTTCCATTTTTGTATGTAAAGAAATGGCCCCTAAAAATGTTGGTTCAGCATTTTAAGTGATATATATTTATTTTACTTTATGCTGGTAATTACTATGATATTTTAGTACAACTAGCAAGTGTTAGTCTGATATATATACAGAAGACTGTTATGTTACTTTTCTAAATACTTTGTATTTGGTAAGAAAATACTAATTTGTATGGTGATGTGTGATAACCCAGCTTTATTTTTATTTCTCCCACTCGAACTTGAAAGCTGCTTTTCGGCATTTTATCTCAGAGCAGGAGGGAAGGAGCAGGCTGCCCTTGGCCCACCTTTGTGATAGAGTTAGCATACTCTGCCCTTTGTTTAGACACAAGACTTGAGTTTTACTTCAGAATCGAATCCTCTATTTTTATCCCTTCATATTACCCTCTTCCTCTGGCCTCAAAGTAAGTACATTTGCTGGCTTAATTATTCTTGTTTACAAAATTACCAGTGCACAAATTAATATAGGAACTTCTGTCTCTGATTCAAAAAGTGTGCATGGGCTTATTCTCTGAGATGGTAACAGACTTCTGATGAAGTTACTGTGGCCCTTTCCACAGTTGCTGTTCATTTGGCTGGGTCCCTCCTTTTGTATTTAAAGATTTTCTTTTCAAGCATAGTACTATGATAAACCACTGGAGCAACTGATGGACTTTTCTATAAATGAAATTATCCAGCTTTTACTTGCTCATTGCAGGGAAGGGCCTGAAGAGCAGAAGCAGTGCCTTTGGTGTGCGGGCAGCCTTAGACCAGTGTGTCCTGCTGGCTCTAGTGACGCCCATCCCAGGAATAGACAGCCTGATCATGAGCTCTCTCTCTGCACCTTTCATAGAGACCAGTCCTACCTGCAGTAGGACCTGTCCACAAAAAAGGGATCAGAACCAAGGGTATTCTTTGGCACATAAAGTCAACCAGTTCTTCATTTGTATCTACCAGGCTTTATCCAGCAAATTAAATTCCAGTTCTGGCTGCCTTTGGCACATGATCTTTAAATAAATGATAATTATGATATAGACAGTGTTATGAAAGGCCAAACCTATAATTTGATAGAAACATTTTCAAATGAGAGTGTACTATAATGTTCACAAATTTAAACATACACCAATTTTCATAAGTATGGAATGTAACCTTTTTTCTGGTACTATATGAAATTTTAGCCCATTAAATTAGGAAGAGTTTCACATTTTTATAAGTTTGACCCAAACTTATTACCAAGTCCATCAAGAAAATGCAACATCATGGGGGGTGAAGAAGTCATCTACTCAGCCAGTCTTCCAATTCAGATACCCATGTGGGGACCGTTCAGACTTTGTAGGCTGAATGAATGATCTAGAATACAGATCATTTTGCCTATCAAATGAAAGGACCATCTCACCATTATCTCGACATTTTAAGATGGTATTTTATCTCTAAAATAGCATGATTTTAGTCAATTATGGATCTGTAAATGTATAACAAAAGTTTTTAATTTCCAAGCATAACAAATTGATCTTTTTAGAAGTTACATAAGTTTTCCATCTCCCTGAAATCTCCTCCCCACCCCCGAAAACCTACTCATCCATCAAGACCCAGCTTTCATTTTATGTACTTGACCCTTTTTGTAATAGTGTAAAGTGATCAGAACTTCCTTTCTAGGCAAAGAGAAATGCCAGAAATTCAGCACACTGATCGGGAAAAGTTTGTTAGATCATTAGAGTTGATTTTAATCATGAAGTGACTCTCCAGTGCTTTATCATTACAGAACTTTTTGCTGTCCATCACTCCCCACTCAGTCATTCTGGGGAGGAGCATCAGATCCCAGGCCATCAAGGAGCAGGTGAATTCCCGGAGGCTAGCTGGAATTGGCTGCAGAAACCAGGTTGGAGCCCAGAGATTGGCATTGGGATCTCCCTTCCATAGGCATTGTTCTTTCCTCTCATTCTTAGGCCCTGGCATATGGAGACTAGGCAGTGCAGCAGCCTCAGGAATGAGGATAACTAATTTAAGAATTCGAATTTTGAACGTGATTCCATATTCTTCATCAGTCTTCTCGAGCATTCTGACCAAGTGACCTAAAGATATAGATGAACCTACTCTAGCCAGTTTGGCTCAGCAGTTAGGGAGTTGGCCCAAGGACCAGAGAGTCTCTAGTTTGATTACTCGTCAGGGGCACATAGTTGGGTTTTGAGTTCAATCCCTGGCCCCAGTCAGGGTCTTGTAGGAGGCAAACAATCAATGTGTCTCTCTCACATCAATGTTTTTCTCTCTCTTTCTCCCTCTCCCTCCCTACCTCTCACTCTATCTAAAATAATCAATGGATAAATACCCTCGGGTGAGGGCTTTTTAAAAAGATATAGATGAACCCGTCCATGTTTGTAAAATAAAATACTATTGGGACAATTTATTGAAATTGAATAAAAGTCACTTCCAAAGAATGTGAATCCTGGGGTAGTGAGTCCATTAATTATTAACCACCCCATCTTAAGAGATGGATTATGGACTGAAGTACTTCAACACCAAAATTTTTTTTTTCATATCACATCTGTCCTGCTATCTTCTAGTCGTCAGTAAATCCTCTCTCATGGATGTAAAAGCTCTATTTACCATTATAATTTATAGACACCTCAGCTCCCTTTGCTCTAAAACCAAGGACATAGGACTGTTTCATTTCTAATGTGTACCTTAACCTGATGCTAATAAAAGCAGTAAGCAGTGGTATTTAATATATAAGCACTTGAAATCCCACATGAAATGTTTAACCACACAGTTTTTAAAAACGTGTCCTTTACACTAGCTACCTTGGAAGTAGAAATACTTTCTTTCTCACCATGTTACCATTGTGCTAAGCATTTGGTGGATTTCTCCTTTGTAATTGCCTTAACATCCACTTGTAAGCCACACAAAACATCAATCTTGGCTTTGTAATCCTATCTAGGTTAACATACAGAAGTGGCCTTGCCCCACTGGACCCCTTACTTTATAAACCAGACTTGGTTGTACTGACTTTGAACTCTACCTCCTCACTCACTAGGAGCAGCTGTCGCTGTTGGAGGGCCAGAGCCAGTACAAGGTGACCACTTGATGGAGACAATACTGACTTGGATTTTCTAATAATTACATATTTTTAAACAGCCCTTAGAGTAGTTTTCTTTCCCTAATATTCGTGCCTTCCAATTCAGGGGCAAATTACAAATTTTAATTTCTTAGGTTACTTCTTTTCATTTCACTTCAGAAATTCAGTAAGAGCTAATGTTATCCCTTTAAGCTATAAAATATCAGTACCTACTTTACTAATGATAATTGATTCCTATTATACTTCATTTTTTCCTATAGCTTTAGATCCTTAAACTCACCAGTAACTGAACTGATAATGATTACAAACCTGATAGAACCTCATGTTTTGACGAGAAAAAGAGGAGACAACAAATTGCAGCATGTGCTTGGGGCAGGAGCATCTTTTAGATCAGCGGCTCTTGAACGATCAGGGAATTGTGAGCATGGGAGCTTGTCTTACTGTGCCTGTCTCAACCCTCATCCAGTTATGTGGAAAACCCTCTGACTCCAGGGGTCCTTCTACTGGCCTCCCTGTGACAGCTGTCTGTATCAGTCAGGGGTGGGAACTCCACCCCCAGCCCAGAGGTGAGATTCTTAATCCACAGTGAACTGCAGGTGTTTCCAACAATAACCTTCACTCCAATATCACATTCACATCAGAGGCTCTCAGCTTCTCAGTTCACTCTCCTAGATCATATTTATCAATAATGTAACAAGAGGTACAATAACTTCTGGCATGGTTTTTTGATCCATGTCCATTTTGAGCAATAGTGACTGACTCAGATAGATACAGGACAGGATATGATTCGATCTTCTAACATCACACTGATTATCAGGAATACAAAGTAAAGGAGGAACATTGTGAAGCCCAGGATCTTGTTCATTCTCCATTTGCATGATGCAATTGAAGAGATCACAAACAGGAGCATGAGAAAAAGCAGAACAATTGCACAGAACAAGCCATTGCTGCTGACTGGAACAGGCTGTAGTCCATTCATAAGAGAGAAAAGCAACCAGGGAACAGGAAGACTGCAAGATTGAAGAAACAATGTGAGTATTTTCCATATTTATAATCATCCTACATATTTAAACTGTATTCTACAATTTACAAAGCACTCATTTTTCCACACAAAAATAATCTATGAAGTAGAGCAGAAAATACTAGCTCCATTTCACAGATGAGGATACTAAGGTTCAAGGAAATTAAATTACATACCCTTGAACTCACAGCTTACAACTGAGAGAACCTGAATTAAAACAAGTTTTCTGGGTCTGAGTGTTTTTTCTTCAGACTAAAATGACTTCTGTATGACTAACCCATATTTGTTGATGTGTGATTCTTATCTCTACATTTTTACGATAAGTCCCAGCTCAGGGTAACATTTCTTTAAATTTTTTAGTGATCAAGGCTCTCCTATACCCTTTCCCTGCCCCACCTATACATACACATAAGTAAATTCAAAGTAATGAAACCAAAGCCACCACTCGAGTCCATGACAGGACTGGAGAAATGAAGATAGACCAGGTGGGTAAGGGAATGGGTACAGGAGGACACGGCATTTGCTTGTTTGCACAAAATGCTTTTAGAGCTGGCAGGAAGCGAAACACAAAGGAGCAGGAATATCAGGAAGTGAGATGAGTCACTGTCCCAGCCCCACCTCCACCACCTTACAGGTCAGTGAACAGAGCATTTGATGGTATTTGGTAATGGAATTTAATGGACTTCATTTTTTAACTCATCTGTAAATTCCAGTCAGTTACATTTCAGGCAGCATTTTAGTTCTATTATCTCATCTGGCTGTGATGAATGAAGGGAGGACACTTTATTGCCTTATAGAAACTGATAATATAAATGCCCTTTTTTCCATGTATAATCAATGAAGCAGAAAACTAGTGAAGAGAGCCAACACAAGGTTTTCCAGTCTTTTTTAATATGCTTTAGAAAGCAATTTTGCCACTTACCCCACGGTGATGTCAAATATATTACTGCCCACAGAGCTGGACACAGCCATGTCTCCCAGGCCCTTCCGAGCAACAATCACACTTGTGATGAGGTCAGGAATTGATGTGCCTGCTGCTAGGATCGTCAAACCCATAATCTCTTCAGAAATCCCTATTGTTTCACCAACCTGGTAAACAGTAACAGTAATAAGAAACCATGGCAACAGCAGGTGGGAAATCTGAGGCTCTTCAAAGCACCAACCACATACTACTTTGTGCAAACCCAACACCTCCCTTGGAGCTCGGCGCACTCCCTTGGCCTGAATGAGGCAGGGTGATGGTGGAACTTACAGCTGGGGAGATGGGCCATACAGAATGGGGCCCTGCTCAAGGCTTCAGGGAATGACTGCTCTCATCGAACTCGGACTAAAAGTCCATCTATGATGCCACCTGTCACTGTCATTCAAACAGCACCTCTATTTCTAAAAGAACTGTCCCTCCAAAGATCTGTTCATGTCACATTTCCATTTCCAGAACCATGGACCCCTGCTACGTGCCAGGAACTAAGGGGCTGGAGAGAACAATATGAGTAGTACAACACTGACCCTACTCAGCCTAGTGAAGGAGAAACGCTTATAAACAATAATTACAGCTCTGTGCTAAGTGCAGTATTCCAGGCAGAACAGAAAAGCCATGGGCACTCAGAGGAAGACAGGTTAAAATGCCAAACAGGAGGCAAAACTGAGCTTGCTTTCATGAGTGTGTACAATTCACCAAGTGGGGAGGAATGGAAGATGCATAACAAAGAAGGCAGGGAATAGAGTGACGAGCAGATTGTGAAGGGCCTTCTATGTCATGCTACAATGTGAATATAAGAAGAGCCACACTTGGAAAGCTCTACATTCACTGGAGTAAAGAGTGCCTTTTCAAACGATGTAGAAACTGTATAAATGCACTTGATCCCTGGATACTGGATACCCTGAAGGAAGAAAGTATCTTTGGGACTTGCTGATACAGGACTTAGTTCTGCTGTTCACTCACCTGGTGAGCCCACCACACCATGAGGTATGAGAACATGGCTATCCACATGATGGATCCCAGGAAGGTGATAACAAAAAACTTCCTAGACTCCTGTTCAAAAGTTCGAAAAGAAAGAGAAGTTACAGAGGCTAAAGGTCTTTGGGCCTTCTGAGGGAGCCTCAGAATCAATGATGAGATCTGCTGGTGGGATGATGGACAGGATCTAGAGATGTGTGAGCCAAAATTGTTTTCAGTGAGGACCTTGAGATGGCTGGGAAGGATAGGGGTGATGGCCACAGGGGAGTCCAGCCAGTAGGGTGTTCAGCAGTCACCAACTGAAGAGAACTATTTGTTTGCCCCAGAACCAAACCAATCTAGGTATTTGATTTGGCTTCTGCAACCGCTTTCTGCCCTGCCCCTCTCCAGATCCAGAGGGTGGAGTATGCTAGTCAGTTCTTTCCCTATAAATAGGAATGCTGGGATGAAATAGCACTTATCACCCTGGGTTTTCACAGTAACCCCGTGAAGTATGGTAGGGTGTAGTGGCATCATTCCTATATTAAAATCAAGATACTGAGAAGTCAAGGAGGGACTAGTTTCACATTGCTTATAGTGGTGGAAATAAGCACATTTTAGGGCCTCAGGCCCATTGGTATGTCCCCTTAGGTGCATGGTCCCCTCTAGAGCTGCAAATTCCAATCCAGATCCTCTCTGTGATTGGGCCCTGCCAAGCTGGTTGACTCTGTCCTCTCCCTCCTCTTGGGTGGGATGCCCAGCTTCCCTGGGGAAACTCACCAGCCTCCGGACGTCAGGCACTGTCAGCCACAGCGGGAACACAATGGGCAGGAGGAAAAGGTAAATGGCCTGCTTCTGCCAGGTTTCAGGCCACTCCAGGGACAAAGGCTCCTCACTTTCTTCTTCTTCCTCCTCCTCCTCTTCCTCATCTTCATCCTCCCCTTCTTCCTCATCTTCACTGTCACCTCCATCACCTCCCCCTTCACTATCTGGACCTTTCTCATCACTTCTGGCATCGCCTTGATTTTCAGCATTGAATTCCTGCTCTTTGGTTTCACCCTCATCGCCTTTCATTTTGCCATCTTCTCCTCCTGCTTGGAGTTCACCTTCACCTTCATCATTTCCTTTTATTTCTGCTTGGACTTCACCATTCTTCCTCTCATGTCCACCATCACCTCCCCCTTCGCCATCTGGACCTCTCTCATCACTTTTGGCTTCACTTTGATTTTCAGCATTAAATTCCTGCTCTTCGGTTTCATCACCATCGTCTCCTGTTTGGAGTTCACCTTCACCTTCATCATTTCCTGTACTTTCTGCTTGGACTTCCCCTTCCCCTTCATCATTTCCTTTCCCTTCTGCTTCCATTTCACCTCCATCTTCTAGCTGAGCTTCACCTCCACTTTGCTCTCCATTTTCACCTTCAGGAGCTTCAGCCTCTTCACCTGTCATTTCACCTGTGCTGTCCGCTCCAGCCACATCTCCTTCCTGCAATCCAAAACCAACAGATTAACAAATAACTTCTCTACTTATTTTCCCTCCCCGTTTCTTCCTATTATTTTTGTTGGTGTTGCTCTCTCAGAATGTAACAAAACACTTGAGTATGAGAAAGCCAGTGCAATTACTCAGCAAAATTCTCTTCATAATAGCCTATCCAGTGGTTGGTCTTCATTGGATCATTTCCAGGGATGGAGAACTCACTACCTAAAGCAGTTGCTGTTATCTTTGGCAACTCTGATTGGCTTGAAGTTCATATTTACACCAAGGAGCTACCTTCTGTGTATAGGTTTACTCTTTGGAGATGCACAGAACAAAGCTAATTACTCTTCCATGAGACAGCTCTCTTCCCTGCAGTAAAGATACCCAGGTCCTCTGTCATTCCCCCATATAATGGCCTCATCCCCATCTTGATGAACTAATTCTAATTAGCTTTCTCTCATGAAGAGGCTTCTAAAACTCAACACAGAACACTAAACAGTTTAACAGAAATATCAACTCACTTGCTTTAGATATTATGCTTCCATTAATGTTGCATGATATCTTTTGGTGGTTGCATCATATTGCTGTGGCCATTAAACTCCTAAACTGTTATATTCATATGCATAAAATGATGATAATACCTATTTATTGGGGGGTTTTATGTGCCAGGCACCATACTAAGTGGTATAATAATAATAGGTAGCAGTTACTATGTTTCATGAGTCAATTAATTTATGATATAGATAGAATTACACCCATCTGATAGATGGAGAAACTAGGGTACAGAGTAGTTAAATAACTTGCCCATGGTCCACACAGTTTGTAAGTGCTAAAGTTGGGATTTGAATATTGATGGTCCAAATATTGGCCTCTTAACTACCAACCCACACTGTTTTGCAAATGCCAGGGCCCAGTGAGATCTTTGGTTCCCAAACCTCATAGTATAGGAAGCTTATTAGAAATACACATTTCTGCCCTGGCCAGTGTGGCTCAGTTGGGCATCGTTCCATGCACCAAAAGGTTCCAGTTCAATTCCCAGTCAGTGCATATGCCCAGGTTTGGGGCTTGATCCTTGTTAGGGAGCGTGCATGAGGCAGCTGATGGATGTTTCACTCTCATATTGATGTTTCTCTCTCTCCCTCTCCCTCTCCCTCTCTCTCTAAAAATCAATTTTAAAATCTTAAAGGAAAAAAAAAGAAATACACATTTCCTTGCCTCATTTGGACACCTGAATTAGAATCTCTGGGATTGGAAGCTAGGAATCTATATTAATAGCTCACAAGTGCTCCCGATAGGTCCATCTGCAGACCAGTGTTTGGGAACCATGGATGGACTCCATGCACTCTAAAGCCAGTGATTCTGAGACTCCTCAGATTAGGCTCTCAACTATCCTATAACAACACATTGGTCCAATCCCTTAAATGGCCTGGGCTGTGTGCTCATGGAGTATGTTTTCTGTAACAAATTTCATGATATAGCCAACCCCCAAGGGATGCACAGTGATTCTCAACTCTGCTGTATATTAAAGTCACCTGGAGACTTTAAAAATATTCATACCTAAGGACCCAACCCAGATATTCTGGCTTCATTGATTGAGGGCGGGGCCTAGCAATTGTTTAAAGCTTCCCCAAATTATTTTAATATGCACTCAGAGTTAAGAGCCCCTGATGAAGTCAAATATTAATATCTGTGAGGCTTTGCTTTGCATTGAGAAAGAAGAGTGAGATTTTAGTCTGAAATAATTCTTGCCCTCCCTTCCCAAACCCATCAGGAGAGGTTTCCTGGAGAAGATAAGTCATTTAAATAGATAGGTATGGTGCCTGGCCGGTGTGGATCAGTGGATTGAGCGTCATCCCATGGACTAAGAGGTCCCGGTTTGATTCCCAGTCAGGGCACATGCCTGGGTTGTAGGCTCAATCCCCAGTGCAGGGCGTGCAGGAGGCAGCCTATTGATGTATCTCTCACGTCAATGTTGTTATCTCTCCCTTCCTCTCTCTTTAAAAAAAAAAAAAAAAAAAATCAATTAAAAAAAACATACTTAAATTGACAGGTATGGGAGTGTCTGCCCAGCCCGTAACTTCCTCTCTAAAAGCTGTCACCCCTAGCCATGGCTGGTTTTCTCAGTGGTTAGAGCATCAGCCCATGGACTGAAGGGTTGGGGGTTCAGTTCCAAGTCAAGGGCATGTACCTTGGTTGCAGGTTCAATCCCCAGCCCAGTCAGGGTCATGCAGAAGGCAACCAATCGATGTGTTTCTCTCGCGCCTCTCTTTCTCTCTCTCTCTCTCTCTCTCTCTCTCTCTCTCGCCCCTCCCTCCCTCCCTCTCACTCTTCCACTCTATCTGAAACTCAATGGAAAAATATCCTCTGGTGAGGAGTAACAAAAAAAATAAATAAAAACTGTCACCCCTAATAGTCCTTTCTTCCGAGTTGAACTCAAAGCACCCTACCTCTTCCTGCCAAAGATGATTGGACACAGGCTGGATCCCTGCCTCATGACTTGGTTTGATCTGTGACTAGAAGCCACTCACTCACTGATTGAACCCACTGTAGACTGGAGAAGTGGGGTAGTAGTTTAGGGCTGTGTGAGCTAATAAGGAAGTGGAGCCAGGCTGCCAGGATAGGCCGAGTGATAGAGCCCACACACAGAGACGGGCACATGAGGGAGAGCCAGGCATGGAGTGAGGAGCCACCAAGGTCACAGCTCCAGGTGACACCAAGCTTCACTTCCTGCCCTGTGGTTCCTCTTAATCCCTTGTATTTGAGCTGGTTATCATGAGCCTACTCAGGACACTCATGATACCATGAAGATGTCTTAGATACTGAACCCAAAATTGCTGGCTGAAGGATGAGATATAATTGAGTGCTTCTGGGTGTCAAATTTTTAAAAAAGTAATGGAACTTGCAAACTGAATACTAATTATTGCCAGTCATTCAGCCCTTACTGAGCACAGCCATGTGCCCTGAGTTTCTCTCTGTGGGGGGAGACAGAGATGGCTAAGAATTGGATCCTGCCTTCAGGAACATCACCACCACCCAGCAGGGGAACGAAGAGAAACTCCTAGAGTACAAGGAAGGCAGTGATAAGAGCGCTGGGAGAGGAACCATGTACCATAGGCAATCAAATGGGGGAGATCAGGGAAGCTGTAGGCAAAGGAGGCATTTGCACTGGCCTGGAGGGAGATGAAGGTATCTGATGATGGAGGAAAAGGTATTCGGGGGGGGGGGGGGGGGGAGGAAACCATGTGGGCCAAGGCCTGGGGGGAGAAAGGCATGGAGACAAGAAGTCCGGTTTGGCTAGAGCGTGGAGGAAGAGGCTGTGAGGCTGTGAGACAGCAGTATCAGGCCTCAGGAAGGTCCCACAGCCTTTACCCAGCAACCCTCCCCCTGCCATTTCGAGCTGACCAGTCTCACTGTCTCCCTAGTTGCTGACAGACCCCTAGCAGTTATTCCTTATATTTTTACAGCATGTGACAGTTGGCAACACATTCTCATATATATTATTTCACTCATTCTAAGGTGTTATGGTGAATTAACTGGCCCCAAGAAGTATCTCATCTTCACAATGCTTTCCCCAAAGGAATGAACCTCAAATAGTATTTCAGACCTTTAGGAAGGAAGGATGTGTGGTCAGCAAGTCCTTCTTCGGCCTCTCAAATTCCTCTACCTGGGAAGAGGCTTGGGCCTACCTGACCGCCAGGATCCTCCTCCTGATCTCCCTTGTCGTCTGGAGCAGGGGCTGGTGTGACTGTGACCGCAGGGAGCTTGCCTGGCTCCTCCTCTTTAAAGGACAAACATGGGATAGGTCAGAAGAGTGCCAGGTTTTGAGGGCAGCTGGCAGAGACTGATGTGAGTGGCTACAGGGCTACTGGACTTGTCCACTTCCGAGTCTCAGAAAGGGAATGTCTTGCTGATAGGGAAACTAAAATGATGTGATGTGATCTTTAATTTTTCTGTCCACAGAGGTATGTACAGCTGAGAGGACAGCTGGGAAATGGCCATCCTTGCTCCCTCTCTTTTCACAGACATTTCCATCCTGGCCAGTGTGGACAACTGGAGCAGAGAGGCCAAAACCCCACCCCTAAGGGTCTGAACTTTCCTCCTACCAACTGCGTGGAAAAGAGCCTAATGATTTCAAAGACAGCAGCTAGGAAGCCTGGACAAGTCTGAGAACTGGGTTTAGGTACAAGCTCTCTCACTTCTTGGTTGTGTGGCCTTGGGCAAGTCACTGAACTATCTGAGCCTCCCTTGTCTATAGAGTAGGAACAATGACTGCTGCTCTACCTCCCTCCAAGGGCTACTGGGTACACAGGGTGGGCTTGATGTGTTGTACAGAGCCCACGGGTCTCTCCCTGTCCCAGCTGCCACACAGATGCTGGACTTATGTCACCAGACCCCCGGTGGCCTTTCCTCACTGGGGTTGCTGGTCTCAAACCAATCCCTAGCAGAACTATCCTTGTGTAGAAGTGGCAGGAAGAAGAAACAGTCTAATAGAGTCCAATTTGGGACAAGATTTAGCAAAAAATAAAGTGGGAGTTCAACAACCTTTGGCCTGGCCCGGCCTGCCCCTTCTAGGGAGAGTACAGAGGGAGCTGTACAGGATTGCCCTCAGGAATGGGGACACCAGAGGACAGCAAAGTGCAGGGCAGCACAGGTCATCACTCCAGCTGACCAGCTCAGAGGCCTCAGCCCTGGCGGGCAGGAGGGAGGAAGGTGGCAGGAGAAACCCACTGGTCTTGCCATCCTCTCACCTTCTGGTTTGCTCTCTGCTTTGGCCTGAGGCTTGGCTTTGGCCTCCTGATTCAGGCTCTCCTCGTCCTTGTTCGTGGAGGGGTGGGCTGCAAATGAAAAAAGGAAACACATCTGGGAAAGTATCCCTGCCACACCCTTCAGTTAGGCTGGTCAGCTAGCAGCCAAAACAGCTGAAGTTCGTGGGAAGAGGCTGGCCTGGGAGTTAGGATGTCTGGATTCTAGTCCTGCTAGGCTTGTCATGGTGCCCAGTCCCAAACTTTTGTCTTAAATTCCCTGCACTGTCACTAATTGACTGTGACCTTGGACAAGTCACTTCCCTTGTCTAGGCCTATTTCCTTTGTGATGAAAGTACATAGTGTTAGGGGCAACAGATAGGGTTTATTTCCTTTGTAAGCCCGAGTGATGGCTGCTGAGTGCTGAGTTGAGAACCCTCGTCCAAGCTCGGTAGGAGAGTGCCATGATTGGTCGGGGTGTCTGCAGTGGGCAGAGAATGGAGGAATGATGACAGGGAGATGTTTTGCCATTCATCCTTGGACTAGATTATGTGTAAGGTCCTTTGCAGCTTACTTTCTGTAAACCTTCTAGAAGCTTTGCTCTAACTCCAGGGGCATTGCTGGTAGCCACGTGCACGAGCCTCCCCTCTCGGTGGGGAGGGGGAAACTGCTGCCCACCCAGCTCCCTGCCACATCCTTTTTGACCCCAACACCTGGAACCCAAACAGGGCCCCTGTCCAGATCCCTGCACACACACTCTGCCGGAGGCCCACGGGGCACTGTGCACAGCATGGTGCTGCCCTGGTGTCCAGGCAAGAGAAATGGGGAGCAGCTCTCCTTCAATTGACTGTGCTCCAGGAAAACGCCGAGGGCTCCACAGGTGTCACTTTAGGTGAGAGGCAGAGACTGAGGTGCAGGGGCTGTGAGGGTCCTCCTGGCAGCCTCGTCATTTGGAAGGGTAAGGATAATAGCACACATGATAGAACAAAGTGGTGCCATGAAGTCTATTCTGAATTTCACGCTGGCTCTGCCCTATGGACACTGGGACCCTGGAAAGCCTGTGTACCCTCCCTAAGCCTCAGTGTCCCTTCTCTAAAAAGGCAACATCATGATATACACAGAGCAACAATGCGGGGATCCATGAGACAAAATAAATAAAAATACTTTAATTGCTGCAATGAAATATTATCATCTTAGCTCAGGCTCTGGAACCAGACAGCCTGGCTTTGAATCCTGGTTCTGCCACTGGCTAGCCATGGACCGAGCTGGGCGATTCCTTAACCTCTCTGTACCTCAGATTTTTCATCTGTAAAATCTGACAAAAGTTGAAGGAATAAATGAACTTGTTTAAAGCAGTGCCTGGCACCTGGAAAGCGCTACATCCGTTTTAGCAATGACAAGAACGAGGAACTGCGACAGCAGCTGTCCCACCGAGTCTGCAGCAAGGTGGCCCCACATTCCCGAAGGTTGGGGTTAGACCCTGAAGGTCCTCCCTTCCATTATCCAGACAGCCAGAGCAGGTGCCATCTGGGAAACTGGGTGGATCAAAGTCTGCCTGGGTCCTGGATGGGCAGGAAACATAAACGGTCCGGAATGGCCTGCTCTCAACCTGTCTCCTAAACTCAGAGTAGGTTCAGCTGCGGCCACCTCTGGAACAGGCTCCATCCTGCAGAGCCACCATTAAGCATGAGTGGTCCCTCGGAGCATCTGCCCAGGAGGGCCTTGGCAGAACTGAGACGTCAGCAAAGGCCTTCCACTGCCTCCTTCGTCCAAGGAGTCCAGTGCCCCTAGGCAGTGACCAAGCACTGGCATCTTCTGTTGAGCAACGTATGGCTGTTAACAAAGAAGGGCTCCCCTGGTTCCAGCCCAGGCACTGAGAATATCTGCTGACTGTTGGCTAGAGGGACTGGCAAGAAAAGTAAGTTCCCCTCTTCCTGTTCATCCCTCATCACACACCCTACCCTCTCACTTCTCATGCCAAGGAAGCAGGTCAGCTGCAGGGCCTGTCTCTCTGTCTCTCTCTGTCTCTGTCTCTGTCTCTGTCTCTGTCTCTCTCTCTCTCACACACACACACACACACACACACACACACACACACGTGCATGCGCCTTAGTAAAATCACCAGAGGCATGGGATCACTGGATCCTGGAGCAGTAAAGCCCTTCACAGGTGAGAGTTCAGACCCCAGTCAGTTCTGTGGAAGGGTTGGAACACCTGAAAAGGGGGAAACATCTGGACAGCATTTGGAAACAGCATATGGAAACACAAATATGTATCTGGAAAGTCTCAGGAACAAAGGCCTTCAGCACGGCCCTGTGCAGCCCCAGCCCCTGCTGGAGGGAATCTCGGGTGTAGAACCAGGGTTGGCTTCTCTGAGCGGGACTGGAGCCCAGCGCATGTCAGCAGTCATTCACAGTGAGGGCCATTCCTTGCCACACACGCACACAATGGACCTGGCTCCCCCAGCGCTCGTTTCCTCACTGGCCCCTCACTCACCATGGTGGATCATCTTAGCACCGATCCCCTCTGACCTCAGCCTGGCCTGGACATCACATAATCCTGTTAGGACAAGTAGGCCAGTTGGCAGCTGTTGGTCATGGAAGCGACCCAGGCAGGGAGCCTTGTGGTCCCATTGAGGAGAAGCCTTTATCTTTTTTTTTCTTTTTGGTATGTGCCTCTAGCGGGAACTGAACCCTGGATTCTCTGGTCCACAGGCCGACGCTCCAACCGCTGAGCCAAACTGGCCAGGGCGAGAAGCCTTTATGACTTTGCCAGAGTCAGTGACGCCCGGAGAAGTGGCCAAGCAGAACCCAGAGATGCATCTTCCTTCGTGGCACCGGCAGCATTGATCACACGCAGGTGCCCAGGCTGCGGGCTCCACCCTCAGAGCCCCAGCGGTTCACCTTGTCTTTGACTCTGCTTTTCACAGTACAATATACTTGTTTCAAACACCCCAAATCCCAATAGTGTGTCTGAAAAAGATATTTAAGGGCCCAAGGAAATTCTGAGACCCCCAAATTTGTCTCTCAACCAGAAAGCTCAGTCAGGGTGCTCCCTGGGGGCCAAGCGTCAGTCCCTAGTGCCATATACAGCTCATTTCTCAGCTGTTCTGCCCAATTGCAACTCCAACCCCTTGGCTTCTGCCCAAAGGCCAACCTTCCCTTGATGGGCCTCCTGCCTCGGCTCCCAGTTCTGTACCAGAGCCCCAGAGATGGAGGGGCTCAGGATAGCAGGTGCATACCTGAGGGGTACCTTTGGGGCCCTGAGAATCATGTTGGGGTCAGCTCTTTGGAGAGGGAGGCCAGAGGCAGGAACTGGTAAGGTGGAAGGTGAGAATCTCAGCTGCCCCAATCACTTGTCAAGCTGGATATCAGCCCCACTGCACTTTGGACCCTTACCACCCTGGACGTGGTCCTGGCAGCTCCCAGGATGTCCTTTGGGGGGAAGGGCTAACAGTCTTTGTAGGGCACCAGAGCCAAATACAGAGCTTCTGGCACCTACCGGAGGTTCCCCAGCAATCAACCCTGGCCAGGCAAGATACTGAGGGCAGCCCCAACACAGACCAGCACAGAGCACATGGCCTTCATGGCCTCACCACCTGCAGCTGAACCTCTTCATTTTACAAGAGAGGACAGGGAGGCAGGGAAATGGGATGTGGATCCCTAGGGGCCCTCTCCTCTCCTAGCGAGTTCCTAGTCTGAGTCTCTACCCTGTCTCCCAGACTGACTACCACCCACTCTCCTCTGCTAACTCTCTCTTTTCACTCCTGCCCTACCCCACCCACTGTCTAGTTTTGCAGGTCCCAGTTGTCCAGCTGCAGGAGGGAAAGAGTGGACAGGGAGATCACACAGGTCTGGGGGGCCTTGCTTACCTTCCCCCAGAGGGTCCAGACTGTGGAGCATGAGCCGATAGATGGTGCTGCGGATGGTGCTGTTGTGCAGAGAGGCTGAGCTGCTCCCTCGGGTCAGCACGGACGGGAGCTGAGCGGGAGAGAGCAGCACAGGCCTCAGTGGGCCCCTGCTTGAGCCAGGGGAGGAGCCACCCAAGGGCCTCACTTAACTCTGCCTCTATCCCACAGAGATCAGCATGAAAGCACAGGAGCCTTCCTGGGCCTCCCTGTGTCCTCCTCCTCTACCAAGAGACCACTCTGCTTTCTTCTCAGCCTCCCCTCAACTCTTCCACGAGTGACCAATTCTACACAGGTACGGAGGAATTCCCTAAGGACTCACCAGGGAGCAGCAGACAATGTGTACTGAGGACACCACATTGCTAAGGGTCTGTCTATCCCCAAGAGCACCCTCATAGAAGCACACACCCACACCCACACAGACTCAGTGCACATGGGTACAGCCCTTCGCAGTCCACAAACAGCATCGTGGACTTGATCACTGCCCCATTCCCAGATATAAGAAAAGCTGGGAGCCCTTCTACTGAAAAGGAAATGAAAACTCAACAAGTTCATGCAGGGTGTAAATGGAAGAGTCAAGACTAGCACCCAGGTCCAGACTTGTTTTCTACCCATGTGCTCAAAAACTTTCACAGGCACACACATACACACATGTATAGGTGCAGACACACACAGACAACACACACTTACTCATAGCGAGACAGATTTACAAGGGAGCATCCAAAGATAGACAAATGCTCCTTCCCTCGTCCCTCTACCGGCCCCACACCCTATACCCCAGCCCCTCTTTCACTTTCCCCATCCCTCTGGCTCTGAACTCTTTTGCCATCTAGTGGCCGTGGTACCACAGTACTTTACAACAGGCCTAGGGACTTTCTTTGGATGGGGGAGGTTTCATTTAGGCCTAGCCTCCCTTCTCTAAGATCCCATACTTCTTCCCAAACACTCCATAGGCCAAAGGCGGCTAAGGCTGTTCTTCACAAACCGCAGACTCCTCAGCCCCCAGTGCCCCTCTGACGGTTCTCTTAGGTCTGGGCATTCCAAAGCCAAATAGGCTTTTGATCAATCAAGCCATGTGGGGCTTACGAAGTTAGTTCCTCTAGTGCATTCATTTACAGAATATGAAGCCCAAGCTCACACTGCAAGCTAGTGGCAAAGCCAGCAGTGGCATTCTAGCTCCCAAACTAGCACCTCCTCCAAGGCCACCTGGGGTTGAGAGTCCCTGGCAAAGGAGCCACTCCTTCCCTGGCTCAGCCTGGCAGCACTCCCAGGAGCTTCCCAGACCTGACCCAGCCCAAGACCCCCAGCATCAGGGCCACAGTGCCCTGAATCTGTGGCTGTCCTCTGAGACCCGCAGTGTCCTCACAGGGCAGACTCCAAATGGCACCCACCTTAAGCTTCTTGTTATCCTGTAGCTCATCCACCGCAACTGCCCCATCACCTGGCTGCAAACAGGGACAGGAGTCACAAGATGTTTGGAGAAAACCTCACTCTTTCTCCCTACTTCCCTCTCTCTCCAGGAAGCCCTCAGGTTGGAACACAGAAACATACCCAAGATAACCTGGCCTTCCACATCCTGGCTTCAGCCTGCACAAATTGTTCCCAGTCAAATGTGTCCATTCACTGTGGTTCAGCAACAGCACCTCTTTCAGTCCCTCAAGTGCGCCATCCTCTTTACCCAACTTGAAACCCTCATCACAGGGTGCCTGTCTAGCCCTCTTTCATGCATTTCCATTCTTTTCCTTCATAGTACTTTCCCCACTTTGTGTTATTTGAATGTTAGCAAACATGCAAATACATCTATTACCCACTAGCATTTTGAAGACAGACTGCCTATTTCATTTACCATGTATGTCCAGCATGAAAACACGGTAAGGGTTCAATAAATATTTGTTAAATGAATGAATGAACTATCCTCAAAATACACCTCATCTATTCCAACTCCTATTCCCTTGTTCATGCCTTTTCCCTGTGCCTAAAATGCCTTCACCACCCATCTGCCAAATTTTCAGATATAGAGCTTTCCCAAATGGCCCCTTCCACCTCCCCCATACCCCAGCTCACTCTGATACATCTCTCCTCAAAAGCAATATAACAACACTGAGCACATTTTGTGATACCACAATCTGGCTCTGTAAACAAATTAGTGCTAGTGTCCCGGGGAAGCTGAGGGCAGCCCCCTGGGAAATGGGACGGCCCCAGAAAACCAAGATGAAGGTTTACGAAGCCCACAGTATGCACTGTTTGGACTGCTAGCTTGCCACTCCGCATTTACTGCCATTTGAACTTTCCACATATAAGAGTTAGACAGCTAGACTCCACAATTTTTGGCCATGCAATAAACTTGTGATACAGTCATCTCTGTTCCCCTGAACTGTGGCACAGTGTTTGTACACAGTAGGTGCTCACTAAGGGTGAGTGAATGGATACTCCCACTGGCCTCTAGTGCCATCTTCAGGCAGTAGAGTCACTACAAGCTGCCCCACTCACTTCCTCCCATTGCCTCTCCCACCTCTTACCTCCATGGCCAGAACTAGAACTGGACTTGCTACACTCCCTTCTCTGTTCAGCTCAGAAAACACAGAAAATACTGCCTAATCCAGGGCTTCCTCCTCAGCCACCCACCTAATATATTCATTCATTCAGTTATTTCCTGAGCACCTGCTTATTTACATGGTGCTGTGCTAGCACCATAGGGATACAAAGATGTTTAGATTCTATGTCCAGAAGGGAATTGAGACAAATGAAAACACAAACACATGACACAGCAGAATACTTTTCAAGAAATGAAAGGCACAGAGAAAGGTGCTGTGCTGGGATGGAAAGAAAGGCTTCCTGACGCAGGTAGAATTGGGGTAAGCTTTGAAGGTTGGGGCCGGTTTGAATGTTTGGATACACATTGAATAAACAAATGACTAAATTAATGAACAAATACCCAAGCAAATTAAAGAGTCTTGGTTCCATAGTGTAATAGTTATCACGTTGGCCTCATAAATTAATGTAACAGAACAGAAGTAACCAACCTGAATACAAAGAAGAGCACTGTGGATTTTCTGATCAAATCCCCTGACTCTTTCGCAACATACCTGTAAGTTTACTGGGATACTGGAGTCTATAGCACTGACCCCCGCGGGCCCAGCCAACTTCCTATTTATCATAACCAACCTTCATTCATTGAGTTCTTGGAAGCAAAGAAGGATGAGGGACTAGACCACCCTTTGGGATGGCTGGTTCTGTCCACAGAAGGACAGGAGAGACACACTTTTGTCTCATGATGCCCACGCCTCCTGATTTCTCTGCAATTCACATTTATTCAAGCCAAAACACTTCTCTATTGGTTCACTTCTCACTGTATATATCAATATCTTCTAACCTCAGCATGCACTTCTAACTTTCTGAAGACCTTCACATCCATGTTCTCATTCAATACTACTAACTCCGTGAAGTAAACAAGACTAATACTACTGCTATTTTGATAGATGAGAAAGCAGATGCAGGATTCTGTGACTTGCCTGCACTCACAAAGATAGTGACAATCCCAATCTCCTAATCTCTATTCAAGGATTTTTGTTGTTGTTGTTTCGTTTTTTACTAAATCACATTTCTTTTCCCAAATTAAGAAAATTAGGTAAGACTTCCGGTCAAGATGGCGGCGTAGGTACACGCAGTATCGCGTCCTCCCACAACCACATCAAAGTTACAACTAAACTACAGAACAACCATCATACAAAACCTCCTGAAATCAAGCTGAATGGAAGTCCTACAACTACAAAATTAAAGCAACAGCCACATCCAGACTGGTAAGAGGGGCGGAGGCGGGAGGGGCAGTGGCACAACGGGCTGGTCCCACACCCACGTGTGGTGGATAAAAATCAGGAGGATACCTCGGCTGGGAAGGTCCTTCCTGAGGACTGAGGGGTCCCTGTCCCACACCAGGTGCCCCGCTCAGGGTTCTAGTGCCAGGAAGAGAAGTCCCCATAATTTTTGGCTGGAAAAACCAGCAGGAACTGAGGCTCAGGGAAGCTGAAGCAGCTGGAGCCCCAGGCAGCTCCTTAAAGGGCCCGCGCACGGACTTATCGGACTCTCTCCCTCTAAGCTTGGAAGGGAGGCAGCTCAAGGGGCACCAGAGACATACAGGGAAGAACTGAGCTGTTTGTCACTGGAGCGAAGGCTGGAGAGGGGGCTTTCTCCGGGACAAACGTGCTGTCAGAGGCCTTTGTTCCTTTGGTGAGCCCTTTCCTGGGGTGGCAGACAGCCGCCATATCTGGGACACCAACAACCTGGCTCACACTGGTAGCCCTGCCCTGGTGACTCCCTGAGGCCCCGTCCCACCCAACTTTCAGGCCCACCCAAGCTGTTGCCACTTGCTTAACCATAGGATTGCCCTGTCTTGGATCCTACTTCAGGTTTTCCCTAAATTCTTTCAAACAGCATCTGGTCTCAGCTAGCCCCATACTGCTCATTAAGTAATACACAGAAACAAACACAGGAAGGCAGCCAAAATGAGGAGACAAAGAAACAGGTCCCAAATGAAAGAACAGAACAAATCCCCAAGAAAAGAACTAAGCAAAATGGAGATAAGCAACCTAACAGATGCTGAGTTCAAAATACTGCTTATAAGGATGCTCAGTGAACTTAGTGAGAACCTCAGTGAACTTAGTGAGGGCCTCAAGAGCATAAAAAAGGACCAGTCAGAAATGATGAATGCACAGTCAGAAATGAAGGAGGCATAAACTGAAATAAAGAATAATTTACACAGATTCAATAGTAGAGTACGTAAATCCAAGAAGCAAACCATCGATTTGGAATATAAGGAAACAAAAAACGCCAAATCAGAACAGCAAAAAAGAAAAAAGAATCCAAAAAAATGAGGATAGGGTAAGGAGCCTCTGGGACAACTTCAAGCGTGCCAACATTTGCATCTTGGGGGTGCCAGAAGGAGAAGGGAGAACAAGAAATTGAAAACCTGTTTGAAACAATAATGGCAGAAAACTTTCCTAACTTGGTGAAGAAAACAGACATACAAGTCCAGGAAGCACAGAGAGTCCCAAATAAGATGAACCCCAAGAGGCCCACAACAAAGATACATCATCATCAAAATGCAAAAGGTTCAAGACAAAGAGAGAATCTTAAAAGCAGCAAGTAACCTACAAGGGAGTTCCCATAAGACTGTCAGCTGATTTCTCAAAAGAAACTTTGCAGGCCAGAATGGAGTGGCAAGAAATATTCAGAGTGATGAAAAGCAAGAACCTACAACCAAGATTACTCTATCCTGCAAAGCTGTCATTTAGAATCGATGGCCATATAAAGACTTTCCCAGACAAGAAAAAGTTAAAGGAGTTCATCACTACCAAACCGTTATTATATGAAATGATGAAGGGTCTTTTTGAAGAAAAAGATAAAATATATGCACAAACAAAATGGCAATGAATACATATCTATCGACAATGGAATCTACAAACAAAATGAAAAGGTAGAACAGAAACATTCTCATAGATACAGAGAACATTTTGTTGGTTGCCAGATGGGAGGGGGGTTGGGGGAATGGGTGAAAAAGGTGAAGGGATTAAGAAGTACAAACTAATTGCTAGACTGACAAACCTCAAAGGGAAAGGGGTTGGGGGGTGGTGGGAAGAAATAAACTAAAGAACTTATATGCAAACCAATGGACACAGACAAAAAAGGCGAGAGGGGGGCGGGAGTGGGGAGGAGGGGGTCAATGGGGGAAAAATGAGGAACATCTGTAATACATTCTACATTCAACAATAAAGATTTAAAAAAAGAAAAAGAAAAAGAAAATGAGGTCAAATCTATATTCATTCCTTAGTGACTCTGTTTCAAATTATTGAGGTAAATGAACATGAATATCTGTCTACATTTGGGTATGGTTGATGGGTTCATTGATGGGTACAGAACTGGCAAGCAGGTGCTCCCAGAGTATGCCTTCATTACAAACACATTTCCATATCCACACCACACCATGCCATTCTCCCTCCTCATCACCCCACCTTTTCCTTCTCCTCATGACAATTAGCAAAGGGGCTGAGGAAACTGAAGAGGATGTCTTCATGCCAGCCAAGCCCCCAGCACCTGTGATGCATCTTGCTGAGAATCAGCAATGGGATCCCTTGCAGCTATTCATAGGAACCTGGGGAGGAAACATGTAGCTTGTCCTCCTGATTTTCAGTTTCTATCTCCCACCCATGTAGCAGTTAATCATTGACCTCTCCCCTTCTGGACATACACCCCTAACACATTTCCTGGACCACACACTTTAGCCTCATTTTTTTTTTTAAATTTTCAAGGACATTTTTGCATTTATTGTCAGATAGAGCTGGGGGGGGGGGAGAGAGGAAGAAAGAGAGAGAGAAATATTGACATGAGAGAAACACATCGACTGGCTGCTACCCACACGACCCCAACCAGGGCCGGGGACAAACTGCAA